AATAAATCCTAATTAAATCATATTTTAATCCTAATTAAAATCTTAATAGATCTTCACTAAATCTTATGTCAAATCTTAACTAAATACTAAACTCTAAATCAAATCCTAATCAAAACCTAATCAACTTAAATTAATTCTAAGGTAGATTAGAATTCCAATATTTATTGTTTAAACTATTGATATTACTTTAAAATTTACATACCTTTCAATCTCTTAGTTGAAAAAAAGTACAACAAATTTGAAGATAATTGCACTTACCAAATGGAAGAAAAGTCCTAAAATCTGCTTGGATATTAGCTAGCCTCCTATTCCAATCTAAATATTGAATTTCTAGTACCAATATCTCTTTTTTCAAAAGTTGAATTTCTTTCAAAATTCATTTAAACTATTATAAATTAAGTCTAATTTTTATTAAAAAAATTAATTCAATTCAAACAATAGAGTGCCAAAGATCTTAAAAATATTCACTAATCCTTAAATTCCAAGTTTGGAGACCTTAATCCACAAAAACTTTCAGACACTTTGTTCTAATTGTTTGATTGATCTCAAAATTTTCATATACATTCATAACTAGCACAAAATTCTATGCAAAATTTATCTATATGTATACCACAAAACTCAAGAAACCCTCAAATATATAAACATAGTTTTATTTCTTAAAATCTAAACCAACCAAGAACATCATTAATTTTGAAAATCCTTCCAAAATTAAATATTAAATAAATTCAAATAAAAAAATACTTTAAATTCTATTTATAAGTTTTCTCTTAAATCCTATACTTCAATCTATCAAAGAACTCCAAAGTCACTATAGGTGCATGGTTTTGTACCTTGGAATCTGAATTCAACTTTGATTGACAACCAATCTTCTTCACATATCAATTCTTAATTTTTTGAGATAAATTTTGCTAAAATATACTCTTAATTTCCTCTTATACATGATTATATTATTTAATTTTTTAATCTATATTTTTTTGAATTATTTATGGTCCTACAAAATAAATAAAAGCCTATTTTGTAAAAATGCAGCATTAGCACCCTTTTGTTTTACAATCTTTTTGACTATTATCTATATTTTTAAAAATCTTAAAAATATATAAGGGAGATCTAAGTAAATTTATGGAGAGGGGGGATTGCTGGAATTTTGGAGAGAAGAGATTCAACACTGGTTTGGAATTTTCTATGCTACTTGCAATTTTATCAATTTGTGTTGAGATTTAGAAGAAAGCCAGATCAAGTTGTGAGCTTTTCAAAAAGCTATAGCATTCAAGAAATGGGATTTTTGAGAGGGAGATCAAAGCAAATTTGTAGGAAGAGGGTTGCTAGAGTTTTTGGAAGGGGAGACTCAATACTAGTTCAGATTTTTCTACTCCACTACTTGCATTTTTATCTTTTTGTATTGATATTTTAAGATAAGCTAGATCTGATTATGAGCTGTCCAACAAGCCTTAGCATATATAAAATGGACCTATGAAGGAGATTCAAGCATATTTTTAGGAGGAAGGTTACTAGAATTTTTGGATAGCAAATTTTAAGTTTGGTTTGGAATTTTCTATGCCATTTATTGGATTTTTTCTTCTTTTTTTATTTTTATTTTCAATGAGCTAAAATTTGCTTAGATTGACTTAGTAATAAGTGAATTATAAATATTTTAGTAAAAAGAGGTTTGGATTTGAAATTAGAGTTAGAGATTATCTGCATCTTACTACAAGAAAGAAATTAATCTATAAATTTTACCTAACTTTTAGGCTGTTCTTTATATTTGATTACATTTGGGACAACATTATACCTTCTTGTAATCTACTTGTGATTAAGGACCCTATATTCTCTTGAGGAGGCTTGCCCTCTTGATAGTGCCATTTAATTAGTTTGTTATACAAGCTACTAACATATGTGGTATGTGATTAACTCGTTGATCAAGTTTCTAACCTATGAATCAACTAGAAATATATAAAAAGTCAAAACAACATCTATAAAGCTTTTAGAAATATTTTCTAGAAGATATTACAAAATTAATCTATTTTTACATATTCCTACTTATTCATATTATTTAAATTATAATTATAATAAATAAATATTTGTGACATTTATTTCTAAAAAAATATAAGAATAATAAGTTAGCATTCTTGTGAAACTATTAAAGATATAAATCTTAAAAGAATAAAAGATTAATATACTCTTGTATCACTCAAAAAGACTAAAATCACTCAAAGATGATATAACATTAAACTAGAATGGCTATTTCTAAAGACAAGAAGACTAGAAAGTTTTGAAATAAGATTAAAGTTTAGAAAGAAATTAACAAGACTCAAGAAGGCTTCACTCTTATCTTTATATATCCTATCTAATGAAGAGTTATGTTGCAATGTTCAATAAGACCTTCAATACATTGTCGTATTATGTGAAGTCTTACTTGAAAATGCACCAAGTACCTAGCTGTAGAAGATAGAAAGAGAATTGCAAAACAAGATCCTAATAATTATAATAGAATCTTAAAAAAATTCCAAATAAATCTTAATAATGCTAATAAAGATTTAATCAAATCCAAAAGAAATCTTAAAGAAATTACAAAAAAACATGAAAAAATTCTAAAGAAATATTAAAAAAATCTTAAATTAATCTTAAATAAATTTTAACCAAATTTTGTTTTAATTCTAATTGAAATCCTAATGGACCTTAACTAAATCCTAAATCAAATCCTAACTAAATCTTAAACAAAATCCTAGACAAACCTTAAATCCTAAATCCTAAATCAAATCCTAATTAAATCTTAAACAAAATCCTAGACAAACCTTAAATCCTAAATCCTAAACCTTAAATTAAATTCTAACAAATCCTAAATCTTAAGCCAAATTTTAGACAAATCCTAAATCTTAAAGCAAATCCTAACTAAAACCTAATCAACTCAAACCAATGCTAAGGTAGATTAGAATTCCAATATCTATTTATTAAACTATTGATCTTGCTTAAAAATTTATATATCTCTCAATCCAATACAATTAACAGATTGTTAAAGATCTCAAAAATATTCACTAACCTTCAAATTCCAATTTCTAAGACCTTAATCCATAAAAAAAATCACGCACTTTGATTTAACTATTTGATTGATCTTAAATTCACAACACACATCAAGTACAATTATATCCACCAATCTACAAAATTGCACCTATAGATTTGCTACAAAACTTCCAAAATTGTCCAAAATAATAATCTTATTTTATTTCACAATAATGCAAGTCATCCAAAACAACTTTGATTTTGTAAAGCTCTTACAAAGTTATTACAAATCCAAATTATAAAAAACCAATGGTCATAGAAATTCTATCAAGTTTGCTATCAAATTCCACTCTCCAATCTACCAAAGAATCCAAAAGTCATCATAGATGCATGGTTTTGAGTCTAATTTGACCCAAGTTGACAACTGGTATCAATTCTTGGCTTCTTGAGCTGATTTTTGCTAAAATATACTCTTAAATTTTTTCTATACATACCTATATTATTTTATTTTCCAATCTACTTGATTTTGTCTTATTTATGGTCCTACAAAGTAAATAGAAGCCTATTTTGTAAAAAGGCAGTAATTGTAATCTTAGTTTTGCTATCTTTTTGACTATTACCTATTTTCAAAGATATTTGTTATAATATTTTAAGATAAGATTTCTTATAATGGAATGTTTTCCTCTGTCTTTCATTCATTATTCATGTTATATCATGACAACATGTTGAATTTGTAAGACATATATCTTAACTTTAAAAACAAGTTTTCTATATGTGCATCACATAGTTAGCTTGTTCCACAAGCTATCAACACTTGTGATACATATTTAATTTCTTGACCAAGTTTTTATCTTATCAATCAACTACAAACATGTGTAATGTTATGTTTAAAAAGCTTTTTAAAAAAGCTCTTTAGAAGCTTCCTAGAAATCTTTTAGAAAAGCTTCCTAAAAACACGTTTGTGAAGCTTTTAGGAAGCTTTTTTAAAAGATAATACAAAATTAATCTATTTTATCTACTTCTATTTAATAATAGAGGTAGTTATTAGAATAAATATATATATTCATGATAGGCTATGTACTTTCAAAGTATGTATATTAAAAAAAAATCATCAATGAATTATTATACTTGTTATTAATTCTAAACTTTACAAAATTTTGTCTTGTGCTTGCTTGTTACCTTGAGAGTACAAATAACAAATTAAAAAATTAATAAATTTTGAATTTATAAATAATAAATATCTAAACTTGTAAACAAAACTTAATTACCTAAACTATTATTTGCAACACGTATTAAGCTTTTAAAGATCAATCCACTTAAATATTACTTATGAAAATAATATTTATATAAATTTTACAATAGAAGATTGTTAAATAAATCCATGTTTTCATTTAATAGTTCCATGCTTGACAAAGAATATAGTAATCATGATGAATGTGATATTTTTTATTGGTTATAGATCTAACAATAGAAAAACAAATCTAAATGTCATTTTTTTATAATTATTATTAGGACATTGATTAAGATGGGTGGATTGATTTAATAAAAACTTGGTTCTAATTAATATTCCCCTATTTTTTGAATCATTAATAAGGATTGAAACTAAACATATGAATAGACATGTAAATTCTTTTTAATTATATTACATGTTTAGTAATGTATTTGTACAATAAATGTAGATAATTTCATAAAATTAATTATACCTTTTGCACAATTTTAATTCTTCTAAAGGCTAAACTTGAAACCCTAGTTATTAAATGGTATCCATATTAGCAACTCACAATTTCTATTCTAATTTTTTTACTATTCATTGAATAATAAAGTATCTAAGATGATGTGATAAATGTTCATGTGATGTTCTAATTCTCTGGTCTGCATTTGAAATCTTACAAATACAATACTAACCATCCTTAAAATGATTAGTTTGAATATTATGCTGATTCAGATAATAAAATAAATTGATGTAAAATTATGACAACTGTGCAAGAATCATACAACAGGTGGAACTTAAAATTGCATGAATTTTGGATTTCGTCAGTTATGAGTTGGGATTTTCACAAGACGTAAATTGCTAGTACGTTGTAGAATTCATAGACTGTTTGATCAATACATGTTCGAATCTTTGTTCCGTGTTGCTTAAACGCAGATTCTCTGTTGCATTTGTAAAACAACGGCAATGCAACTTCCATGTCTTTAATCTTGTCCATAAAGCTCATAAAGCTCATGTAGACTAGAGATTCTATTCAAGCACACCCAGCAATAGCTCTATGTCACTGATTACCTCCATTCTGGTTGAACAAATAGAGAGCTGCAACAGGAATTAAAGAACTGGTTAGAAATGCGAATAAATATCATAGAATTGACTTTAGACATTCCATAGAAAGCATCACGATCACATTCATCATAAACGAAAAACCATTACTGCTTCAGAAGCACCAAGTGGACATTTTTATTGGGAAACTGGAGAGCATTCATAGATCAGCAAGCACAGAAACACCACCAAAGAGTAACGAATCATGTAAACATAAAGAGAAGCACCAAAATATCAGCAGATGAGAAAAAAAATACTCAACCACGTCGATAATCAAAAGATTTAGAGAGGCCGAAGAACCTTGAGCACTATACCTTTCCTAAATGGTCAGCAAAGTGAAGCATATACAGTATTAAAGGACCTCAAGTAGAAATCAAAATACAGTATCGCGTGTGGTGTGTGATAACACTGGAGAGCTGTAATCAAGTCCATGAGCTGCCACCTGCAAATCATCCAAATCAGTGAGGCTCTATTGTAACAGAGGCAGCTAGTCAACCAACAAGAGAAGCAGAAGAAGGGTGAAATCGCTACATCTTATATGCAGTGGTTGAAGGTGTTCGATTTCTAGGTTATTGGTGGTACTCAAACTTATGCACACAGAAGAAATTTAGTTATTGCATCTCCTTTAAGACACTTCAATTTCGTCTCCAGCATACCATAGCAGTAAGAGCAGAATATCTTTCTTCACTCAAATATAAAGGTCTCCCTCTCCGCAACTCAATGTCCTGCAGCAAATTTGATAAAAAAACTAAAATGTTTAGACTTCAAAGTATACAAGCGAATACATTTGGCCGATATATCATGAATCGAAATTACCCATATGCTAGACAAGATAAATAAGGATTGTTTGCAAGACAACCGTATATCATACCTCTTCTCCGAAAGCATCAAGATATGGTGATGGCCACATAGCTTGCCGCTCGCACCGTTGCAAAAGAATATTAGTCCTCTGAAAGAGAATCTAAACTTTCAGTTGTCTGTCACCTTTACTGCGCCTTAAGTACCGTTTCTATACATGTTATGCGGTACCAAGAATGGCTACAAGATGGCACAAATGGTTCACTTGGTAATGAGTGAACAATCAACTACATGCATCTAACAAACTAGACTCCATAGTATTAGATAAAAATAGGATGATATATATTCTGGCTCCTTCTCGCTGCCCAAGGTTATGTAGTGCAGCAGCTTTTTTAAGTACAACTTACAAAAGAACTTACCCGCAACATCAAAAATACGCCTATGCCTGCTCCACAAACCATGGCGTGCCTGTAGCACTCTCCTTGCCGATTCACGCTGTTACACACAGAAACGCATCAAATGACTTCCTTACAAGACTTTTCATGATAGAAATACCAAGCAGCGAATTATCACAAGTTGAAGGATGATGGTAAAATCTCATTTCTCAGTAGCCAGTGCTGAGCGGATCTAATTTGATTCTGATGCACTCGTCCGTCCCGAAACTGATTCAGATCTTACAAGCTTTGCTCCGCAAACCCCTAGTTGACTAGCGAATGAACGTTTTAGTAAAACGTGGGAAGGAAAGACCTGCAACAAGGCCGTGGACCGACTGCACAACAGAGGTCTCCACACAAAAGGCATAAAGCAGGCCTATCAGGGACTGTCTTGCACCGAGGACACCGTTCTTTAACATATCTGCACGAGAGATTTATTCAGCTTTGAAACAAACCTCAGTCACTTGTTTGCATGAGCTTCACCCTTTCAAGAATTTGCAAGGAACAACAACCAAATGCATCACAAACATCAACCAAGGAATAGAAAAATGTACATCGAAAGCATCAAGAATGAACCAATGGTATTCTTTTCTTCAAACCCATTGTACCGACAAGAACATATGTCCTAATGACATCATTTCTGAACTTAACACAAGTAGATACATACCTTTGCAGAAGTTCCTGAAACAGACGTGGCAGGTGCATCAATCTGAACGGGGCAGCTGTCCTCAAACGGGGACCACTACGCAAGTATCTCATACCTGTATCAATCTTCACATGACTGCACCACCTTAACACAATGTTCTGAACTAAATCTTCTTCGAGGATTTTAGTTAAATATGGAATACAGAAGGTACTTTCCAGCTGGTCCAACTCTTCCATATCCTGCAGGACTTGACTCTGTGAATCTCCTGAATCAGTGAAAGATGACGAAGAACCTTCTGGAATACTATGTTCCTGAGGTAGCTCCCACTGGTGAGCTCTACCAACAGGAAGTACTTGTGATGAGCCGGCCATCAAATTCTGCAGCAAGTAACAGCTGCGAAGAAAAGGCAGCGTCAAGCGCCTGATTGCAACCAACGGTAGACTTGCAGGATTAAATACATTCTCGTGATACGATGAAGGTTGAAGACATGTTCCAACCAAGCTAGCATGGATAGATGCCACGAACGACATGGTTGTTGGCCCCAACACTGTGTCTAAAGTTAAGAATGCACCGGCTTGCGCAATAACCTGTTGCCAAATACAATATTGACAGTTGATGCACAAAACGTTAGGTAATGTAGCATGAAATCACCGAATAGCATTTCACACAGTAACACTATCTGAAACGTGGACACAGATAGTAAAGAAACCAACTCCTAACGATTGTCTCACTTCAGATCACAAACACCAAAAGAAACGATTAGAGCTTCTAGGGAATAATCTAGCACCTAGTTCGCCGAATAGTGTGTCCCAAAATATCTCTTAGAAGAGGCACTATTCTCAAGAGCAGGCAATACCTGGGTGACGGACACCAAATAAAAAAGATGCACAAGTGCAGTAAATGGGGCTCCATTCGCAGGGAATGGTAATGGTAGGCAAAAGAGCAGCCACAGGAACGATGAAAAGGGATCGTGAACTAGCACTGGATCCGCCAGCCTTTTCCAAAATTGTACATCTGCTGCATCGTGTCCCTTATCAAGATACTGCAAAAGCGAAGAAAAATTGCCTGCACGACAAATACCATCCTTGAACAGAATCAGAACTTCCTAAATCTGCGCACCAAAGACAGTAGACCTCTGTAGTTATCAGGTAGTTCTTGACGTTCTGTTAACCACCGAAAACGAATATACTAAAAACATATTAACTTCAAGATGGTGACCAGAAAATAAAGGGAAAAGTCATCGCAGGCCATTGAGCCAATTTACAATGTAAGGGAGTTCCGATCGAGCATATACCCATGCAACTCAGAAAATCAGTTGGTCTTTCTTGTGTTCATTCCATACCATGTAATGCTTTTTCCGCAAACAAGTCCCTGGAGATGCCGTTGGCGATAGAGTCCCGCAACAACTGCATGCCTCTTGCTCTTAGTAGAACAGCCTGATGACTCTGGCTTTGTGTGGCTTTGGCAGCATGAAGCAGAAGGGGTAAAATGGAACCATGTGTTGCATCACCCGCATCGACTAAGGCGACCAAGCCACTGGCAGAATTCTCAGAGATTTTGTTACTCCTGGCAGCCAACTCTGCAGACATGAGCGAGTATCTCAAGACGTCCCAAAGTAGTAGGCTTTGATGTACTCGACCATGCGTAACAGTATTGAACTGGTCCTTTCCAGGATAAAACAATCCCCAAAGTCGCTTTGCAAGATCCTCTAAAACTCCCTTCACTGTATCAGGGAGTTGTGGATCAACCACTTTCCGAAAACCAGACTTGGAAACTAATTCTTCCGCTTTGATGAGCATACGCAATGCATGCTCCAACTGCAGCATAGGCGGGCCATCAGAGGTGCTACTCACTGAAATTTGTGGTATGCTTGAGGATTTGAATGGATTATTCAATCCCGTATGCCCCGGTAGAACTGGGAGAACTGCATTTGCAAGCCGCCTACAAACAGGGCAAAGGAACTCTCCCTGCCACCAAAGAATAACACAAGCGCACACATATGAAGCATCCTCCCAGTTAAGTCATTCTCAGCATGGTTTTATCTGCAACTGTCCGTAGAAGATATGGAATAAACTTGATTTACCACATAAAGCACATGTAAAGATATAAAGTGGATATAGATCATCCAAAATCACTACTGAAGAAACATTTAAAGCGAGATATGATAAAAGACCATACCAGATCAGGATCCACAATCTGTACTCCTTCAAATAGAGCTCTGCTATGATATCTATGGCACAAGCAAACAGGAGACTGAATTATGCTAATTGAGATTATTGGTAAATTCGCAGGAGTTGACCATGTTGGTACCATTCCATGTATAACAGTTTGACTACGTAGCAAAATATTGACGCAGACAAAGTGGTACATATTAGGATGCTTGAACCTCACGAAGCAAAGAAACCCGACTGTTTTCAAATTTAATTGCAAATCTCAGAGACTCATACCTTTGCAACAGCGAAGAAAAGTAACGGTCTCGACAGTCTTGATGAACGGCATGTCCACATGCAGAAAGATAGACGCCCACTGTATCATTCACGCCTGTGCTGTTGTATAATGCCGCTTCGATAATTGGTGGAGCGTTACGTGAGCCAACCCTCCTCGCAAGTGTCAGAGCACCTTCTCTCCCTTGATCTGCATCTACCTCTCGAGGTGAGTCTGTTCCTCGACGGACCCATTCTTGAGGTCGAGAGACAGCTGTGACATACTCTGCTAAGACAGTTGCCGCAGCAATGTCTCTGTTAATACTGCTCTCATCTAGCTCAGCCCCTCCATGACTGACGTCCCACCAGTTCAAAGGTGAGGTACCTGCGAAATTCATCAACTTTGTATCTATCAAATTGTCTAGTAGACGAAGAAATTATAAACCCAACATCAACCACGAAAAGTAATACAATGCGGAGAGTGTAAAGAGACAAACGCAATGCAGAGACAAACTTATTGTTTCAGGGGAGTACTCATTGCCTCTTAACAGCCAAACATAATAACATTCTGCATTAAGAGTATTCTCAAATATCAAAATATACTACAAAGACGTATTAAAGAGAGACGTAAAAGAATTGACAAGACAGAGATCATGGCCCTAACTTTACAGACCTGGAGAATCACTAGTCCCAGCTTCAATGCTGATTTCTGCATCAGTGATCTCACTGCTAAATTCTACTTCCTCGGAATCTGTACCAGCAAGTGGTACAGTTGCCTCTAAAGTTATTGCTGGGGTCGCACGAACTGCATTCCGCATACGTGGGGGTAATCCATTACGAAGAAGCTCCAAAAAATCCTCTCCTTCAAGAAAACGTGACCGCGTTTGAGCATCTCCCAAAGCTTCCTGTATCCAATGCCATAGCTCTGCTGGGCTCTGCAAATCTCTAGATGTGCCATCACCAACAGAAGTGCTCAAGGTGCCTGGTCCACCAGGAACCTCACCCTCTCTTTCCGCCTGAGGTGGAGGCGTAACTGCAAGACACTCCCATGATGGTGTAGTCCTCTCCGCAATTGAAAGGAGCTTAGATTTCTGACACAAGAAGTCAGCAAATCTAGATAAGAGATTGTCAAGGGCAATATGCATTCTGGTTTCATAGTCAAAGTTGAACGGTTATGAATTAAAACTTGATTTCTTCACCAACGTTATTATGATACTTCAGATTTCATTTAATAAATAATTTTCGGTTGAAAAATTTTTAAAATCATATTTTTATGCAAAATAATTTTTTATTTGAAATATGTAGGACAGGAAGTCGCCCGGTTGTTTGCGTAACGATATAATAATCAAATATTTCTTTAGGAGAACATAGGATAATGCATGATTTGGCAACAAAGTCCTTTGCAGTAGTCACACAAACTCACTCTCTCAGCATCTGAGTGAAGCATGCATTCGTGAGGTCATTGATAATACCTGAGTAAATACCAAGAAACACAATGGACTAGCACTTGCCGAATCTCGACAAAGTGCGCAGTGTACTTGAGTTTCTTTGAGCGTATCATCATTCCCCTCTTCCGACTCTCTTGTTCGTTTTGCATCTGCTTCTTCTTCAGAACGGTAATTCACGAAAAACCGCTCTTGTGCAGCTTTCATTTTTGCCTACCATCCACAACTGACAGGTTAAAACTCTAATATCGTATACAATTATATGCATCAAATCATCTAATCTTTGAAATATGGATAAGATTAACTTAAAACCATTCAGCTTTTAGGCCTTGAATTCAATTCGCCAATTCAGATAGCAAAAATACTGCGTGTAAAACTCTCTCGCGTCAACTAGCTTGATGATGTGTGATGAAATTGAAAGAAAACAGGGAGAACCTAAGATTGAAGTGAAGACCAGCATAAACTTCGGAGATTGCATCCCTACACTATGCTTGCCCGTTCTCTTCTACCTGTTTGTAAGTGGGCTATAGGATACACCGTTGTCTGAGGAAGCTCAGAGATGGGAATTCTGCCCAATAATATTGAAATATTTCATTGAATAATGTACTGAAAGTGTAAAACTGCAAGCAGTTCACAGGAAGTAGATGACAAAAATGATAGACCAGCATCTTACCATCGCAGCTGCCTGACGTTCTCGAGCCAAAGCTCTTGTTCTGGTCAATTCAGAAACTGAGGAATCATCCTCACAACTGTTGCCCCCCGAACCGTCTACCTGCTGTGTGGCTCCAGTAGTTGATGTACGCTCCAATATTTCAGGAGCTAGCAATTCAATCTCACTCATGCAATTCTGATTTAATTCGCCAAATCGCCTTAGAAGACTCTTAATCAAGCCTCCAATATTGTAATTGCCAATAGCGGAGGTTGTCATAGTGTCTCCAGTATTGTTCTTACGCAAAAGCAGTACTAGTAAGGAGAGCATGCTCTGATCCTCCTCCATCGTACTTCCATCTTCTAGTGCTACTTCAACTTTTTCCACAGAACCCAGAAGCAGTGGTGGGACATCCTCGGCGTAATCGCCAGTGGAAGTACTCGCACCATCTGAATACACATTGAGATCAAGAGATGGACAAATTGTCGATTTAGCTCCACACACGGTGTCTCCAACTGCCAACTTGTATGCAACACAAACGTCGAGTGCTAAAGCTAACAGATGCAGTGCACTAAGGAGCAGCCCCTCTGGTGCTCGTGATTTAGATAAATTCTCAGCAAAGGCGGCATGGAAGAATATGGAACGAAGCATATCATGAACTCGTCGAGAGATGATGATTCGGCCCAAATTTTGCATCTGCTTAAATGGCTGCTTCCACCGAGGTAATTGAGCAATCACTGCAGGAGTTTTACATGCTCGCAAGTAACGATCTTCGGCTAATTGGAGCTCCCGGGGAATCCAGCGTGGGTGATAAAGGTCTAATTCACACCAACAACTTTCTCTCAAAACATACTTCCCCTGGTAACCAAGAGCCATGTGTAAGTCAGAGAAAATCGCTTGAAGCATATCTCTAATTTTAGCATTAGTCACTAACTCGTAATGATGTCTAAAGCAACAAAGAGCATCTGCTAATGGCATTTGACAGATATGCAAGTGGTATAAAAATAAAACGTTTTAGCTCCAGTCTTGAAAAAGTCCAGTACAAAATCAACCTGCTGCATCCCAGATGGATTACGATACGTAGCCACCGCATTAAGGCATTCTTGAACACGTTTGCTCTCTTGTAAACGTGGCGGTAAAGCCTTTAATAAAGCACTGTGAGTAGCATCTCCAACGGCTAGCCTCAGGACAAGTTCCCGTCGTAATGCCTCAACTTCAGTCAGTCCACAATAACCACGCTCCGAGACTAACCTGATCATCATAACTAATAGCTCCTGTGCCAGAGTCACTTCATACCTGAATTCATAGGTGATCAAAATATCACTAATCGCTCATTACCACCTTGACACCTGAAGATTTTCTGCCACATTCTTGCAAGCAAACCCATGGTTGCGCAGAGTTAATCACACTGAGTTGAAAGGACTGTTCTTCTCAGTTCATTAGCTAGGGATGATTGCGGTATCGCCTATGCATCTCGGGCTTACTAAACAGAAGACTCATGCAATGAGTCTGAGATTCTAACCCAGGATATCATCCAAAACCTTCTATGGCTAAACTAAATTCAATGAGAACATCGAACATGGCATTTTCTAACTTAGAAGAAAAACAAAACAAAACAAAACGAAACGAAAAAATCATTCGAACAGTAATGTGCCTCTCTTATGCATGAAGGTCTTATCGGTCTCGACGCTAATAAGACCAAGTACACTCACAGCATGTCTACACTCAACACCTTCCAGAAAAACCTCAACCTGATGTATGACTAAGGATTGAAATGGATACGTAATTCTGTTCTAGATCTCCATGTCGTAAGTACTGCCGAAATTAAGGAAAGGTTGTTGACCACGGTGGACCACAAGGCAAAAGCCCAATTTGTGGACACTGTGGCATAACTGCACGATTATTATCGACAATCATAATTCAGCACAATTGCCTGCCAGTTGAGGCATTTATTGCATGGCTACCACCTAATCAAAGATCTCCGTTGAACCTAAACCTACACTAGACATAACTAAATGAAGTCAGTTCAAAGAGAGCGATAGTGAATGTATGTGTGCAAAGTGCCGGAGATAAGTCGCATTAGATAAGTCCGTACAGTAACAGCACAACAGACAAAAGTTGAATTTCATCTGGTCTTGCAAAAACATAATCACTAATTCGACAAAACCAGTTGGGAAAATCATACTCATTTGGGCGCCAGAGTACAAGTGTGAAGAAATCAGACAATGCGAACCGAGCTTGAAGACGTTCAACAAACTCTTCAGATGGTGCCATTACTGCGCAACACTGCAGCAAGAACAAATCGAGCTCGAGACCATCCTCACACCTGATAACAACACCACTATGAGCGTCAATTCTTCACCATTTTGAACCAGTTCTACATCATACGCCACAAACCAACGAAATACTTGACATGCAAATCCAGCCTTTGCTTGTTCAGCTCATTTTTCCAACTCACAACAAAATGTGGAGTCCAAACATCATATCTGAAATAATTTGAGCACTGACGTACAGCTTACCAATGTACCGAATGGTAGAGGTCAAACAGACCACTGGTTGAGTGTCCATTGCGACGCCACATACCAGCTTGAACTTGAGCACATAAAACTTGCAGACGAAGAGGATGCTCCATGAGTACAGATATAAACCCTGCCATCTGCAAACCTGGTGGGAACATGTGTCCCAAAGAGTTCCTGCCAGGAGTATGGATACTTGCAGACGTGAAAGCCGTACCATCGGATGCTTCAGTATTCACAGCATGAAGATCCAGAGCCTTGTGGAGTAGCAGTCCAAGCATACGATGCAGTGGAATATGAAAGGATACCTCCTGACGACTAACATCAAAATCTATAAATACCCACTCTTCATCTTTGTATACTGCTATAGGTGCTGGTTGCACTGCTTCTGAGCCCATCCACCATTCTGTACCACCAGCGTCTGTCTCTAGGCCTGCTCCACCAATATCTACATTTTCTTCCGATTCAAAAACCGTTGCCTGAAATGCAAGTCGTGGTAAGTCTAGATAATACTTGTATTCACTAAAAGCTGGCTGAGCTCATTGTGCGGGAATGACAAAGCGTACGAAGCACACAATATTTGACACATGAAAGGGACAAGAGTGAAGAACTTGTTCCTACCCCTAAAACATCAACATCCATATCCGCGGTCGAATTCCTCGAAGCAGCAGTGGTATCAAAAGCATCTTCTCGAACAGCATCGGACCACACCCGTGGCTCAAGCACTTGAAAGCGCCTGGTACGTCGTAACCAGTCACGAAATTTACTCACTCGCGATGGAGAACCTTCCTCTTCACAATGCCCTGGCCTTGAGCCTTCTCTAGCAACATCTAAAGCAAGCCAGGTGTCAAGAACTTGAATGCATTCAGAGATGAGCCACGCCAAAGAAGCTGGTATCGTCATACTTGAATGCGAGACATCCCCAACATCCACTTTCTCAGTTGAATATGGTGCTCTCCCACTATAAGCATTTTCCACAGCATTAACTGTAACAGTGACATCACGCATTTCCACATCTGGTCCAGAAGGACCACCACTGCTCGTCAATACTGTCATGTTAGGTTCACTCATAGTGCATCCAACTTTGTCAAGTCGGCTGACAGAGTCTCTACTACTCGACGCCTCACTCCCGAATCCAGAGCAAGCACTCGATTTGGATAGAGGCATCTGCTCCAAGCCCAAGGATGCATTAGAAGCTTCAGCTGCCCCTGCAACAAAGAAAGGATGGATGGTAGCCATTTGATTCTCCAAAAAATAGGCTGAGCCCCAATCGTCATTTTCTTCTTCCACCTGATTACTCGTAATCCGCCGCTGCGGATACATGCCTTGAACCAAGGCAAGCATGTGTAGCCACGCTCTCGTGAGTTCAGGTCTTCTTTCTGCTACATACTTTGACACCTCCAAATGACTCATCACATATCTTATGTCCTCAAGCATTCTGAAATACAGACGTTTAGCAACTGGACCCTTGCTTACCTGAAATGGAGATCAACAGTGGCACAAAAGAAATCTCAGGAATGAAAAACGGTATTTGTTCCTCATGTCAGAATCATTAAGAACTACACTACTCCATGTTGAAACGAGGATCGCACAACTACTAAGATTCTAAAACAACTCCAAAGAGGGACAAATCGAGTGATTAAAACTAGCATCGGAAACGATCATGCAAAATAATATTTTGACCTATTTACAAATAACACGAATAATCACATGGCCGTCAAGCACGTCCGTATTGCAGAACTTATTTCTGAGCACTATCAAGCAAACTTGTCGCATTTCTCACAAGCTCGAACCCTTCATGAACCAAGGAAAGGGGTTACAAGACTTACCAAAAGTCGACCATCCTCTCCAGAACAGGCACGGAAGAATTCTTTGAGAGTGTCAAGCAGCATATCTAAAAGTCTCGACTCCATAACCAATTTCGGTGTGAGAGTAGGAACTGTAAAAATCTGTACAGAAAAGCTGTTGAGAATAGTCTGCTCACGATATTTGCTTATGGCGGGGCTTCCAGTTGATGCATTTTCTTCTGCAACAGAGTCTTGGAAGAATTTGGGATAGTGCGAAATGAAAACTTGCGCGAATGAAAGTTTGAAATTGCTGTCCCCTAGAAGCTTATATAACAACTCGTGCAAAGATGTTCTGACAGACTTTGGTAAGAAATACTCTGTGTTCATCAATGAATCCAGTATCCCTGATTCATTTTTGCCCATGAGCTCTGCCGTGAATGCCAGCATAGGTTCTCCATAACTACAAAACTCTAGTAACAACTCAATAAACACCACCGAAAGTTGCGATGCCACTTTCTCCTCTTCTGTTAGATCGCTCCATTTCTTAGACTTCCCTTCCATCACAGCATCGGCTGCCTTCAACCTTTGAACCCAATGAACCAAGAGTGCTTCAAGTATTGGAGCAGCGACCTCTATGATGGAGGATGGCAAGGGAACCGCCTGACCAAAACCGCAATGCCTCGAGCAAAACCCAGACTGTTTCCAGGCTGTCATGTCCCCACAATCACAGCACCCTCCTCCAGTGCGAATCATACAGTAGTCGTGTGTCGAGTGATTGCCAAGTTGAAAGCAAGGCACACATATGGCACAAGTAGGATCATGCTCACAAGTACGACATCTGTATGCAATGTCGTTAACACCCCAGACAGCTCCACAGACGCCTCTTGCACCTCCACTACCTCCCAAAACAACCTGTGGTTCACCCTGAAACATAGCCCACCTCACCCATTTAACTGCATCCCTGCACTGATTCAAAAACTCCTTCCTCGTGCCGGGTCCTTGAGTCTCATCAGCGTTTAGTGCAGAGGCAGTTTGCAGTTCTTCTGGGCCAGGAAACAGGCTACTCATCACTACTGGCAGCTGAAGGCTGTGGTTTTTCAGGTAGTCTGCGACCCCTGCTTGACCCCTTTCTACATATTCTGCCGGCACTCCGCACTTGATCAATCTCTGTAGACACAAACACAAACTACAACGTCAACTTCTTAGCACAACCGGCTGAATTCGCAATGATTACAAATTATCACTATTTCACAAAAACCATGAAAATATAAAAACAAAATGAACCTTGAAAAAGAAAAAGAAAAAGACATCGCAAGCATTTAATCAGTTACAATTCCTAATCCGATAACACTAATTTCCAATCAACAGATATTCAGCTAATCCTCAAAGCTAGAAACCTCTCAAGCGCATATAAATATGTAATTAGAATCTATGCAGTGCTTGATACATACAAATGCTGATGGATGCACTTGATTCTATCGTTCACACATTTATCGAAGTAACAGGAAATCCCCGCATTCTATCCTTGAAGTCCCGACGGTTTTCAAGGGCATAAAACAAAGCACTCTTTCAACTACACGCAACTTGCACTGAAAAGCAATACAAAAAGTTTCAATAAAACATCCCGAGAGTGCGCCTACTTGGCAATATTTAAAACCAGATTTCTTGCGACTGGCTAAGCTGTCAAGATAGTGCTTCCAGTCAGTGCAAGAGTAGATGAGGAGTCTAAAGACGGCAACCTCCTCATATCCTGCACTTCACTCACTTAAGTTGTCAGTCAGGTGTTTCAATCCTAAGACACGACTGCAACCTGCTATCCCCATTGGAAAAATGCTGCGTTAGTGAGTGACACTTTTGCTGAATCCCACTGCTACGGGTTCAAGTAATTACTTGTCGCGCAAAGACTACACAGACAGTAGACAATTCTCTTCACTAATTCCCACCGTGTACATTGATTCAAAGTATAAAAGAAGAACTCCGGATATAATTGGGCAGCGCAGTGTTGAGTGTAAAACGAATATCATTATCAATCAAAAGGTTCAAGGATTGTGCTTCAAATTCATATTGCAATTGAATGTGGAAAAACGTTCATTGGAGGAATCAAGTAAAATGTGATCCAAAGATATAACCATCCAACAAAAATTTGAACTTTATTTATACATATTTGAGAAACTAACTCGGATGATAGCTTCCATGGAGCTCGAAGAGTTGGCCGAGATCACGGTGCTGCCGATGGTGGAGGTGTTTCCAGTACTGGTCCCAGCAGACGCACTGCCTCCTGTAAGATGACCTTCCATGGCGCCCGGCCCTTCTGCAACAACCTATTTCCACTTCCGCGCGCACATTATTCACAACAATCACTCCACCTTGAAACTGCCTCCACCTCCTCGCTTGCCCCTTCTCTCTCCCACCATCATCTCAAAACTGTTTTTCCGCCCAATTTCGTTCAGGTCCACACCGCAATCACAACAGAAACGAAAAAGAAAGGAAAAAAAAGAAAGAAAGACAGAAAGACAAATCTTGCTCACGCAACTATCATTATCCCTCTACCGCTTTGGTTCTTCCCTTCGTTTCTCGCTACTGCAACTCTCGTCCTCCACAGCACCACAAGCTCCCCCTCATCGCCACTCCTCGCACAAATCCAAGTCCGGTCCACACCGCTTCCAAGAAGCTAATCCCTCGAAATCTCGACGTCTATAGTCGAAAAATCTCGCCAAATCTCCCCGTCGACGAAGAGACACGATGCAGAAACGCCAACTCAACTCTCTACTGATTGAAGAATTCGTATCCTCACCACAGTCGAGTTCGCTCGTTTAATCGCAGATTTTAAACTGGAAATTTGGACGCCAGGCGCAGTAATTTTCGAAAGTCCATGACTACGGTCGAATTCCCCGATGGATGGAGGATCCCGGAGGCGCGATGCTGGAGGGGTGCAGGCTCTCAACGCAGCAGGCGAAGCAGCTCTTCGTTCACTGAGTCTCGTGTGCTCTCTCTCTCTCTCCCTTTCTCTTTGTCCCTCTCTTGGGAGGTCAGGGCCCTGGGCCGGGTCACCCGACCCGCTGGCCCGGGCCAACCTTCCTCCAGATACCCTTCCTCCCTCACTCTCCTCTAAAAGGTATTTTCCAGGGCTGCCACCACAGACTTGTCCCCTATTTCCGCGCAAGCCTCAGCAAAAGAAATAAATAAATAAACATTAATGAAGACTTGGCATGACGTTGCTACCTCCATATCCCCAATGATGAAAAGCTCGTGTTCCTTTTCTTACGGGCCCCCAAAAGGGATTGACCCTTCATTTATCTCCCCACTTGAAGTACACATCATTTAATTATAAGGAAATAGCCCAGATATTGTCCGAAAACTAGATGAGACAAAACCTCTTTTTGCACCCAAACGGATGAAATTCTTGCATAGCTAATGAACCCCTTAATTTATTTTTTATTAGAGTAAAATAGTAAAAGAATGTGCTTTTGCAATCTGGATTCCAGGTTTTTTTTCTCTTTTTTTCTCTTTTTTTCTCTTTTTTTTTCCCTGAACTGTTCGCCACTCCCAACAAAAAGAATCCAACCAGTTTAACACAAGGACACAAGGCCATACCCAATTGTAACCTCAGCTTAAGGTGTGGAGACTCTCTTATCTCTGTACTTAACATAATCCACATCTCTAAACCACCAAGTCCTAAGTGAGATACTCTACTTACTAACTATTCCATGGACACAACAAGGAGGGAGGCAAGTTGATTAGTAAGTAGACTTGTGCACACATATATATGTATATATATATATATATATATATATGTGTGTGTGTGTGTGTGTGAGTGTGTTTTTTTGTTTTGTGTAGTTTTGCACAGAATAGCTGTCCATGTAGGATACAAACTCTAGGGCTGCCAGCTTGCATGAGAACTTACTGATGTCATCAGGCATCAGCCCTGACTTATCTATCATCTATTTAACTATACTTTTTGCATTGGCAGGGGAACTTTTGAAGGGTTGCGAAGAATAATAACAATGCATACACAATACAGAGTGATCTACGAGGTTTCTGGCCGAGGAAGGAGCACAATGAAAAAAAAATAGAAAAGTATGCACTGAATGTGTTGAAAAAGTTTCACATTCTACGGACCAATCAAAATACGAGTGTTGCAATGTCTAATGAACTTATTTGTGATTGTACAAAACTCCAAATTCAAGGGATACTGCATAATAAATAAATGTTTTTCCTTTTTAAAATTTTCATACAAATCAAGTATAGATTTTGACTTCTTTCATTTTTTTTGCAAAAATCCATGTGCAATTAGTATTACATAAGCTTCTTAACTTAAATTCTTAATTTTTTTTACTCTTTGAAGATGAATTTGAATTCTAACAATTATTCATTTATTTAGGTTTAATTAATTGAGAGCTATTAGGGTGGTTCAGACTTGGCACTTTTGCAAAAGACAATAACTGAAATCCAAAATATCACAGTTCAAACTACCTCTCATATTACCCCCTAATCCAAACTTTATTACCCTATTATGGAGTCAAAGAGGCAAGCAAGGCAATTTTTGATATTTCACCCTCAGTTTGTGAAATCCAAATATAAAAAGAGGGATATTTCACAAATTTTTGATATTTCACCCTCATTAAGTTAATACCACAATATTGGATGCGGATGTGGATTAATTGCTCATTCTATGTTTTATGCATTAAAGCTTAGGAATGAAAAGAGGTCATGAGAAAAGCCTGTTTGTCATCTTCAAACAAAGCACAATTTGGGTGCTGAGCTTACCATGTTGCTCTATGTCATGAACCCCACATTTGGTAACAAAAGTTGATCCTCACATTAAGGAAGACATGACTAATTTTATCATTGTGATTTTATAAATATTATAAAAAATGAAACAGTAAAAAAAACATTTTAATGAAAATCACACAAGCAAACACCACACTGCATACTTGAAGTAGGAGGAGACCAAAGGCTTAGAAAGGAAATTGTGGGTATTTTTCATCTTCTTTTCTTTCCTTTCTCTTTTGGTTTCAGTGTGCATAGTCCATAGCTTTCTAATAGCATAGATAAAATTATAGGTCATAAACAAATCCAGCGTGCAACATTAATTTGATTGATCTTCTAGTATGATTTACTAGAATTACAGATTTTTTATTGTGATTTTTTTCATATGTCTTTAAATGCATATACTGTTGTTTAACTTAGTTATTGCATCTATATTTTTCTTAAAACCACAAGAATAATCAGTTGTACATTAAATTTTAGAAATTGGAAATTGCTGTTAAAGAACATAATTTTTAATTTTTTAAAAATAATTATTGTTTTTATTTTGGAAAAGTAGATGATTGGAAATCATTTCAATTTATTAAATTATGTAATTATTATTTAAATATTTATAATTAATTATTGTACATGTAATCTATTGCTTTAAATTTGAAAGATGTAGTCATAGATTTGAAATCTTATATAACATGTAATTTTGTTACAATGCATGTAAAAAATCTTAAAATAAAATGTAGTATTTACCATAATTTTTTTGAGATATGATCTTGTTTAAAAAATTATTTTAGAAGGAATGTTTTCATACCATTGTATTGGAAGTGGAGGTATCATGGTATGATATAAGAATAAGAATAAAAATACTATTATTTTATTACTATTATTATCATTATTATATAAATATATCAATTATTTTAGAAAATTTATTATTACTTAACTGTTGAACACCTTAGTTAACTTCTCTAATTATATATTACTATCTCATGTAGGTTCATAGACATGCACATATCTTTATATGATTTTAGTACATTGGCAAAGTCCACAATAACTCAAATATAAGTGAATGTTACATCTTAAGAATTTTTCATTTAAAAGTTCTAAATTAACTTAATTTTCCTTCTTCTGATATCATTTCCATTCTATTTGCTTATGTATCATAGTTTGAAACTCTCAGATAGGGATTTTTTCTTTCTTCTTTTTATTTTTTATTTTTCATTATTTTTTCCCTTTGTTAATGTTGTTGAAAAATGTGAGGAGCACAATGTAAAATTTCCAACTTCAAAAGCAAGTTTGGCCATTGTTGGTTTTTCTCATTGGAACCTTTGAATATCTCTAAAATGTAAAATCTTTCTTCCAACTTTGTTCACAATAGGTTTGTGGTGCAAGATGATCCATACTGAACCAGTCAAATTGTTCAAGTATCCTAAAGATGCCATCTAATTTATGGTGCTAAATTACAATGTTTCATTTGACTAGAAAAAAAATAGCCAAATATAACTTTTACAGGAATTGTCAATCCTAATCAATGCTTTTTAGTGCACTTTTTTGACACTTTGGCCTTCTTAATGGACCAGGTTTGCAATCTTTAACATGTTTTCCAGGCTCATGTCCCAAGAATATGTTATTCACATCTAAAAACCAATGAGGCATGCACACATGCTTGTCAACACAGGATTTGTTCATAAATAAAATAAAATTTTAATTAATATGATTTAAAAAACAAAAAAACAAACAAAAACAAACAAACAAAAGTAAAGAAGAGCTATTCAGCTATTAATATTTGGCATTGCCTAAACTGGGTTAGGATGCAACTTAATGAGGCATGGCTTGAATTTGGAGTACCCATTCTAGCACTGTGTCATTCCTCAATAGTGCTTCAGCTTTCCGACTGCAATCAACAAAAAAAAATCAGTCAAATGAAAATGTTGCTTTCAGCAAAGAAAGAGAGCTGAAAGACCTTGCCAAAGGTGCTTAGATAGGCATTTTAGACCACACTTTAGTGCTTTGGACTGAGGTTAAATACCTGCCTCAAGGACCCCTTTCAAAAACCAGACAATAATTTTTTTATATTTTTTCTCCATAGAAAAAATCCATCACACTGAAAGACTTCCCATGAAGCATGTTGATATGCCAAAGCAACATTACAGAATGAGCAAAGACACACCAACCATGGACTTCTTGTACAATTGAATTTAGGCTTTCAGACAGGTGTATGGTGGTGGATCATTGGCCTTGCTTGGTGAGAACATCCACACAATGGAAATAAGTTCCAGGTTTATGACATACTGGTGATGGCTCTAACACTGAGAAGGTTTTACCCATCACTTGGAGTTAAGCTTCTCATAAGCTGGTTTCAAACTCCAAAAAACTCAAAAAATTGAAATATCTACATTAATGAAGAGAAAAATAAAAAAAATGTTATTTTTATTACTATTCTTGTTTTTTTCAAAACTGGGTCAGATAGACCTTTGGTTTTCCTGAGATCTTACATCTTATCAAGAGCTCTGGTTGAAACCTCAGCTTACACATTCGTTGCAAATCTAGTGGAAATAAACGAGGGCTAAAAAGGCCAGAAGAAGAGTGGAAACTGTCCCCAGAGATACAACACCATGCAGACTAGTCAGCTTAAATGATTCCAGGCATCAAGGAAACGAAAGTCTGCAGCCTTGGATTATAGCTTCCAGCATGCGAACATGAGACAAATTGGAGCTTAAAGTTGGTGTGGGCACATACCTTTGCTTCAAATTCAACCTTCAATGGGTTTCGGTTTTTCACTAAGTTTCCATGCCGCAGTTCATGTGTTGTGGAGACTGAAGGCTATGAGCCTCACAGTAGTTTTCCAAGTTTGACAACTGCACAAGCCAAACAAACAATTCACTGTTGCCGGGCGCGCTCTTTCGGTTGAAATGAATTTTGATATCCAGGAAGCGTTAGGCAATAATTCCTTCACCCCATGACCCGGTAGCAGTCATCGAGTGTGTGTGCACTTTACCTGTTCGGCAAAGGTTTTCTGAATCTTGGGTTTCCCTTCATGCAGACTTTTCGTGTGACCTTGTTTCGTCTCCGATGCACAGTGCGGCGAATTGGGTGTCCTACAGTCTCCCTGATTCAAACTCATTGTTTTCGGGTACAGAGTGTGCTTCGATCCCCGACACGGCCTCGACAAACTGTTTGTGACCAGTCAAGTTGCAGGATAACACCGGTTCGTGTATAGAGGGTGGGTTTGCATCGGTTTTTGCTCATTTTTATCGTTGATATTCGTGCGATGCGACCCTTTGCAAGTCAAATACAGAGTTGCACGGCACAAGCAACTTGAGTTCTGGCCTCCTCCCGCAGATACCCAGTAGAACGGCTAGAATGTTTTCTCGTAAACAGAAAAATTCAGAATAAGGAAATACTCAAAAATTCAGTTTAGGTACTCCTTCCTTTCAAAAGAGGTGCATGCCAACATCAAGAATGTCACTACGAGCAACGAAAGGGCTTCTCCTAACAAGACAAAGCCCTAGAACGAAAGAAATTCTCAAAATGCAGTGAAAGAATGTGGAGCTTTTGTCATTACGATTCGCCTCTTCGGAAAACACATCTTTAATCTGCGGAATTCGTCGCTGCCTACGCTGTTTATCTTTCTCATGTCCTAAGTTGCTCAATTGTACAAGCCAAGTAGTTTACTGCCAGATATGGATAGCAAATGCACGCAAGGTGGAACGGCCATAAGACTTTGTTTTCAAACATACTGAAAGGTGTCCTTCGCAAAGACGCGAGAAAGATAGCCGCGCCTTCCAGTTTAGCCACGGTTCGAAAACATATTGAAATGATAAACGTGCATCACGAATATTAAGATAACCTAACTGAAACTCCACACTCTGATCAAGGTGCTAGAGTCAAGTCTGCAATGCGCTGGATTCCTGTAGAGCACTGGTCTCCTTTAGAAACTCCAGAACGTGCTTTACCAGCTGACTTTGATGGCCGCGGTAGCTGTGATCGGCGTCCTTCACAAGCACGAGCTTGTGAGTCGAGATGCGTTGTGCAAATTGATATGCGTCGTCTGCGGGGATAATCTCATCATTAGTTCCATGGATGGTGAGTACTCTGGTAGACTCAGGAATGGCTAAACATGCTGCGTGCATGTTCGTAGTCAATCTGTCTCGCAAATCTGCTTTCGTCACCTGGTACTCAACATTTCCAGCTGCATCTTTGATGTCCAGAACTCCTTCATCTTCCAACTTCTTTAGCCCTTCTTGCCCCCCGAATCGCTCCAGGATCCCTGTACTCAATCCAAGGAGCCAATCGCCAAAAAATTACAAACGTGCAGGATTCCCCAACGCTGCGCCAAGTGAAAGAGTTGCGGAGTACTAAAAGAGAGGCGGGTAATTGACCACAGCATATTAAATCGAGGCCAGAGAAAACTAGAAAAAGTAAGGATGGTTGCACAATAGCTTGAAATGGCACTCCAATACATGTGTTTCATCTCTCTGCCAGCTACATCCATTTGACAATGTGGAGTGGTCTGATGTCATTTAAAGTGGAATGTATCATCAACATGCATCGCGAGTTCGACGTTCTATTAAAAAGAGCATAAGACACGCAACAACGTTGCGAAGGTGCAGACTAGATGATCACTTTTCAAAGCTACGTGCTATTGCGGCGCGGACCGAACATGTAGCACCTGCAACGGTAGAAATCCTCATGTTGGAAAGACGAGGCAACTGCCAATGGACAGGGCACTGACCTTTCTCTAGGGCAAATCGGCCGCTGATGTTGATCACACAGGGCACGTCATGGTACTTCGATGCGTACAATACCACGCAGTTGCCACCCTTGCTGTGACCGGCCACACAAACAACCCTGGACCCTTTAGAAGTCCAAAACTCGAACGCCGCGCGCAGGTCCTCCACCTCTTGCCAATAATTTCCATACGCAAATTTCCCCTCGCTCTCGCCGTTCCCAGAGAAATCGAATCGGAATGTGCTTACTCCAGCCTCCGCCAACCCAGCAGAAATAGCACTCAAGGTGCCGCTCTGCTTCGATGATCGGAAGCCGTGACATAGAATGCAGACCTCCTTCGATCCAGCACCGCCGTCCACAAGCAACCCCTTCAACCTCTGTCCATTTTTATTCGTAAATGTAAACTCTTGCGCTGGGAGGCCACCAGCTTCCTTTGCGCTCGGATCCGCCATAGCCCGACACCGCAACTTCAACTTCTGGCAGTCTCGATTACGTACTCCAAATGCGGAAAAGTCAAAGGAATCTCTCTGCGACTCATGTCCCTGCAATTCAACCCAGAAATCTGAACTTGCCCTAAACGATTGTTTCCATCTCAATCGTGCTTCCAAGCTATGGGAGCAGTGCCGAACACATACAGCCCTCCCTATCAGTGAATGTGCAATCACCGGAGGGGAAACCCTACATACAAATGCAAAAGACTGAGAAGGAGAAACACAAAAAGCTGCAGATGGCAAAGGAGTCTGGGTTGAACAAGGAAGAACTGTACTCTGCGTCATCGTAGTCATCAGGTAGAACGTATTCTGCCAAACCCCTCCATCTTAGAAATCCTATATTTGAGGTATGCACGCTTTCCGTTGCATCACAATCTGATGATTATTCAGGATCCCTTCGTGCACCTAGGTCAGAAATGTCAAAAACAAACGACATTAATGAAGAGTTAGCGCACATTACCAGAAATGCCAAAATGCCAGCTCAAACGAACCGCATTTGTAGAATGTGGATAGCTCTACTGGTACGTATGGCATGCCAGGTTATTGAGGTTAAGCTTACTTAAAATTAGACTCATTTTCTGAACTTCGGTGTGTGTAGGCCGTCGTCAGCAAGGATGAAATTCCACCGTGCAATGTCAAACTACTACTAAAAGTGCATTGAAATTTTCCAGCCCTCACAAAAGTCTCAATTCATGAACATTGGATGTTTTTGTACTGTTTAATGAGTTTTCCTACAGCTTCATCTCGATTGGCTTAAAGTCGCGCTCAAGATGTGCATTAACAGATTGGTGCTATGGACATCATCCCGTCAGCTAGGGTATTTTGGGGTATTCAAAACAATTTGAATCTAGGGTGCTGAGGGGCATTGGATAGAGTGAGCCAATTAATGGCGTTCAGGCACCGAAAATTCCTGAATAGGTATACCCTTAAGCATTGAAACGTGAGGCTGTGGTTTTGGACGATTTCTGGGCGAAGCTATGGCAACGCTACAGGTGTCTCTTTTTTAAGAACCTATTCTTTCGGCATCTTTGATGGTTTGGCAGATTCTCGGAGTACAGATTCACAGACTGATCTGCGACTTGACGGCATATTGACGTATTCTGTTTGCTGACGCAATGTCTGCTTTGCCAGAGTTCTTCAAGCTAAGAAAGCGAGTGCTTGGGTGATCACGCATGATTACTACATCTTAAGGATTGAGAAAGACAACTTATGAATTGACTTAGGGTTACTGTCTAGGATCAGTGCCTGGCCTCTGTGCCATTCAAGTGTGGAGAGTTTGTGCATAGCTTGCGGATTGATGCTCCTGGGTTGTGCGTTCAGAGTTATTTGTTTCAATGACAGCCCAGAGATGAGAGGTGTTGATTGATTATGTGTAGGCTGCATTTGCAGTTGGGTTATGGATGATTGCTGAAGGAAGGCAATTAGGGGATTGTGAGACATCTCAAGATGAAGAAATGTTGATGGAGGGTGAGATGATTGTAGAGTACGGTGATACCTGAGAGGCGAAAACAGCTGTTTCCATGGCGGAGCAGCCGCAGCAGCGCACTAGTTGCGCGTGGCGATGGGTGTTCGATTCTTTGCGGGCTGCCGTGGAGCCTTCTACTTTGGTGCCGCATCTGCTCTCTCATGCTCCCACTCTACTGCAGTCTGCTACTCGAATTCCACTTCGCGAGGTGCTCCTTCTATAAATTAGCCTCTCTTTCAGTGTAATTTTCTGGTTTGGCAATGTCGGGGCGTTTCCTCCGTGTTTGTGGCATTTCAAGTGCTAACGAGTTGCTCTGACCCTCTTCTACTGTTAATTTTTTGTACCTTCTGCTAGTACTCGGTGAAGCAATTGACTGATCAGCAAGTTCATTAGGGTGCTGTATACAAATATCAATCATTCGAGAGCTTAGCATTCACTGTGAGAGTAGTAGTGCTGAAGGATGTAAACGATTGACAATTTGCAGTGGAAATGGAATATAATAGCTGGTTAATAGAATTAGGTCATGATTGATTTCGGAAATTATTTCGTCTTCTCGCGACGGCTGTTTCGTGTCGCGCTGAATGCTGGATAGGTAGATGGAATGAATCGTTTCTGTGCTACATTGTGATCGCCTCAGGTTGCAGCAGATGTATCTTTGTTGGTGCAAGCAGTGTCTGGGAGATGGCTTCCTGTGGATGGTGCTGAGTCGGCGCGCATTTGCCGCAACACATGTAATTTGGTATTTGGACGTATTAACACTCTCTCTGGCAACATTTCTTCAATGTGTTCTCTAATTGTCACAGTCGCTGTCTTTTAGAATCAGTATCTTAAGTCTACGTCATCCGTGTCTCTTAGTCTTGGTTTCTTAGACTGAAGCACCCTGGTATTTTTTGGATCGAATACGGGTTCCTTACAAATTCTACCGTATGCAGGTGAATGAGATCAGCTTTCGAATCCAATTGGAATTTAGTACTCACGCTCTGCTCGCTTTAGTGAAGTTTTTTCAAGGAACTATTTCAACAGCTACCGCAGTGATTATCTTGGAGGAAGATGGTGGTGTTGACGCCAGTAAGGCGAAGATTGAAGCCCTAACAGCTCTTGGGTGCGTGATATGGACTAAGTTCGCATTGTGTCTTTCAGGATACCTTGATCTTTTAGTTGCTCCGTAAAATGTCGAAGTAGAAGAAGCACCGGATAGTAAGTAGCGTCATTGCTCATGTCGTTCGGTCTTGTGCACAGGCAAGTATTGCATGACAACGCAGACCAGCTGCCTGTGGATGAGGTCTCGTCTCTTGTTTTATTTCTTCTGGGGTTAGTAACTCATCCAGCGACATCGTTACGCGGCCAGCATAATGGTTCAGGCTCAAGAGCAATCGCCTCAGGTTGGTCTAGGAATGTTGATGACGATATGGAAGTTCAGAGGCTTGCGTTCGTAGCAATAGGCAATGTCTATACACGAGCAGAACCAGTGATATCCAACGAGACTTGGAAATTGACTGTACAGGTACGTCATGTCATTAGACAGGGTATCTTGTATTTAGTCAAGGTTTGATATGTTCAATCATACTTTTATAAGATTAGATTATATTCACACACGATTTCTCTACCGGATTGTAGTTTGATAGTCAGGTATGGATCTTTCGACATCAGGGAGAAAATACTTATCGTGATATTGAGCTGAATTTGATACCGTCGTAGAAAATAGCACTCACACAAGATTATAGTAGTCATTTATACACATTGGATATCGACATTTTACTGTTGTTATTGCAAAGCAGGAACTGCGGATAGTCACTGAACGTTTTGCTTCTAAAGGCCCATTAACGGAGGGTTATGATTCTTCCAGGTTGATATTTCTATTTCCAGAAGTGTCTAGCTAGGAATAAATGATAAAGTGAAGATCTGTCCATTTTATAAACTTGTTTTGTGAATAGTATATCTAGAATACTATAGGGGCAGTTATGTTCTTCTGAAGCGCATGGTTATTCCAAAGTTTGACATGTGAAACAGTTTAGTCAAAAAGGAGTGAATTTCTGTCTGTAAGTATTTTGCTTTAGGGGGTTGTCTAGGCCTGTCTGGACGAATTAACCATGAATTTCACTACTGCGGTGGCTGTGTTCTGACAACAGCTTGTGTTCATGAGCAGATATTTTGGAGCTTTGCTTCGATGTGTGCATCTTGTGCTGTCTGAGCGGAAGGGGTCACTAGAAGAGCATGTATGGCATCCATTTCCTCTACCATTTTCTTTTCATGTTGCTGTTTATTAGATTATGGGCTAAGTCTTCAAGGTTCACTTTGAGACTTAGTAGAACTTGCACCACAGTAATTTAAATTCAATCTAAGTTTAACAATTTTTTCTTGGACAGGTAGCATCCTACGTGGGGTTTCTACGCATGTTTTTTCTTTACGGCTTGAGCAGTAGCCAAATTCAGACTTCAGAATCACGTTCATGGAAAGAGGCGAGCGCCTACCGCCCTCCACAGCTGCGTAGTCCTGTCCAACCTCCTGCTCGCACTAACAGTGAGAGCACGAGCATGGTAGATGAAGCTGGTTCAAGGGGTTTCTCATTCGATTCTGACCAGAGTGACAGTGATGGTTCTGTTTCGAACAATGACCGCTACAAGAGCTCCAAGTGCCGGACTACTGCCATCTTAATTGTTCAGGTGTTGTGTTTTTCCTCTATATGATAATCTAATCTTGCACAAGTTTGGAATTTTTATGTAGTCTAATTGTTTCTGGTATGCCTGCTCTTCTAGGTCCTTGCTTTATTGGTCATTCCGAATGTGCATTCAAGCGTTTTTTGCCACAAGCATTTGTTCATCGTCACGTGGAAAATGGCGGCTTACCCTCTTGTTTCATGTTTTGAGGCTTAGGAACTTTTGGTACCTTTAGTGGCCCAAGCTTTCAAAGTTTCATGTTTTTTCGTATTTTTCTACAAGGGTCTCGACAATGAATTGATTTCACATAACAATGGCATGTATCATTGTTTTTAGGTGCTGGCTAGGGCAGATCCAAAGTCTCTGCATGCACATTGGGCTTTACTTCTTCCAACGCATGATGTTTTGCAACCCCGGTAACACACTCCTTTTATCTTAAATTCATTCTCTACCACATATCTTTCTGATTTTTAGTAAGTGCTGATGTGCTCTGTTTGAGGCCTATTGTGCCCTGAAAAATACATTTTGTGGTCAGCTTCTGTACTGGGTTGTGGGTTTACCTCGTTATGGCTTTAAACGATTGATGACAATTATCTATTTCTTTTCAATAATTTGTCTAAGTCTTGAAATTGACACAGGCCTTATCAAGCTACGCTGCTTACAACCCTTCTCTTTGATCCCATTGTGAAGGTATGATTTTGTGCTTTGTGGTCTTACAAGGTAGGCGGCTCTTCAAGCCTAGGTCAAAGTTCGATAAGAGTAATATTGGTATGAGCTTATGCAGTCGACATCTACTGTATTTCCTTCCTTTACGGATGTATTAACGTCGGTGGACGGTTCTGAATGACCAGGCTCGCGTTGCAGCGGCTACCACGATATCAGTTATGTTAGAAGGTCCAGTACGTGCATTTCTGCATGTTGCGGAGTACCGGGAGCTTGCGCAAAAGATCCCATTTACAACGCTATCGAGCACTTTGGGACAGATTGTTATCCAACTCCATACTGGTACGTCCTCATGGCTTCATGTGTCCGTTTTCATTCATCGTATTTTTCTATTCCGTTAAAAAAGTATTCTAAGTTCACGGACATGGTCATTGTTATAAACTATGTAGCAAACGATTTTTAACATGGAAAATATGCTTTCATCCTCCCGTGTTATTTGCTTCTAAGACGGATTGGCTTTGCAAAGATGGAAGAAACAACACTGCGTGTGTGGGTCTGGATATATGCTATCCTTAATAGTGCAGTTGGATGCTGGTATCGCCGATCTGGCATGAAGAAAAAGAAGATCCTTATAAGGCCTCATTGAATACCTCCATTGGTTCTTTGAATTAGCTTTTATACTCAACATTTTAGTCATGGGCAATCTGCAGGTCTTGTGCATGTCGTGTCCAACGAAAAGCACAGTGGCACGCTCGTTGCTGCCCTTAAGGCCCTCTCTCTTCTTGTGACTGCGGCACCGTAAGCCTTCTCAACCTCTTTGATCAATCTGTTGTGTCCTTGACAGAAATCACCAATTCGTCCCTATCATGCTCCACCTATTCAGTATCTTTTGCCATCTTTAATTAACTTCTAACTTATTCATGCACTGCACTTTTCTAATTCATTCATTAGTGAACTAGATGCCCGTATTAAACGCTCTCACAAATGTTGTTTCTGAGCAGGTACAATCGCCTGCCCTCGCTACTGCTACCGAATGTCGTCCTCTCTGTAGCCAAGAAAACCCAAGAGTTGTTAAACTCGTCTACAGATCAGAGCAACACAGTGGTATTTGTGTCGTTCTTGATATCGTGTAATGCTGCGAATTCGCTTTTGGAATATGGCAATGCAATTTATCCCCTTTGGTACCTGCAGTGCAATAGTTCTCGAATTCTTTTTCGCATTGAGAATCTCTTCTTTTAACATATGTGTATGTACTTAACATGATACAGACTGCAGCAGTTAATTGTCTGGGCGCAGCTTTGAGCACTACTCCTGCATCCACTGGCATGGCCTCCATCCTCACCGTGAAGAATCCCTCCGGTAGGTTAATGTGAACTCCGTTGCTCGTAACTTCAGCTGCAAGTGTTTCATGTGTAATTTGGCTTTTTGATCCCTGTACGATCTTGACGTAATGTTTTTGCCATACCTTAGACGTATTAAAGGAACCAGAATTGTGGTGAATTCTCTATGGCAGGTATGTGAGCTGTCAGATTGTAAAGTAATTTTTGCTCTTACTTCGCTTATCCTATTTAATGTTCACTGTGTATTACTACAGAGATTAGTGGCGCTTCGTTACCGCACACCGTCTTAATGGATTTGATATCGTACTCTCGATCACCCGCATCTTCTGCTGTGCGAGTTGAGGCATTCCAGGTTAGTTGAAATTTAGATTCTGTCTGTTCTATTCATGTTTATGGGGTTGTTGTTGATATTGATATTACTTTTGAGATTTGATAGGATATTATATGCCAGATCATGTTTACTTAGCTTGTTGTAATTCTTTTACAGGCTATCAAGGCTGCAGTTCATAACTATCCAATGATAGTGCCCAGCTACTGGGACCAAGTATTTAAGACCGTGGCTGAGGTGGTTGACATGGGGTGGGAGAAAGCACGCACGAGCCCATCGAGTCCAGCAAGAGGTTCTCTGTCTGCTGGGTATGCTCAACCTTCACGAATATGTGATGACAAACTGGTGCAGAGTGCCATCAAGGTGTGATAAATATGGGTGCTTACTTTTAGTCCTCTTGTGTTAAAGAATTCGGTAACGATGGTTGTGAGAATGCTCAGCAGTGCCAAAATGTATTCATTTTTTAAATATGGAATAATTCAACTGTTTTCTATGTTCAGGAAACTTTCTGCTAGCACTGACGTTTGTCGTTTTGTTTGCCTAGCTTTTGGATGAAACTCTTCGAGCACTATCAGGCTTTGAAGTGCCAGATGAGTCGAATGATGACAGCTTATTGAAGGCTGCACCAATGCATTTGGGACCAAAATCTCTTTTTGCCCCCTCTAGTAGCATGGAATCTGTTCGAGCAGATGATGGATGTCCACAATGGCTTCAAGCTCTTGACCGTCTCTTGCCTGCGGCATTGATTCACAGTGCACCTATGGTAATTGGGCAGATTGGTTGCTTTAGATAGCAATTTTCAGACTGCAACGATTTCGTCACTTGCTCCTCTTTTTGGCAACTTGTAATTTTGTTGTTTTTGTGATGTTACATGGTGTAGGTTCGAGGAGCAGCGTTAACATGTTTTGCTGGGTTGACACCAGCTGTATTTTCTGCCTTACCGGTCCAGAAGCAGGAGTTCATTATTTCTTCTGTGGTACGTTCTTTTCCAGCTCTGTAGGCTATCGTAAGACTGCTTTGATAGCTGTGCTGTTGATCAGTATTCAAATTCAGATGTGAAATTTTAAAAATTGAGATTTTTTTTTTACATGATCTGACCGGTTCAGATTGTTGATTATGGTGATATAGATGCGTGCCTCTCGTGAAGATGATACACCGGCAGTGCGTTCAGCAGCTTGTCGGGCTGTTGGTGTCACTGTGGGATTTCCTCAAGTATCAAAGGGGTATGAATGCTCAAACTTTCCAGTCTTCGTAGTTTGTTTTCGTGCTTTTTGCAATGAATATTGAGAAAATAGTGCGTTTAGCCTCTTCTAGTTTTTCTCGTTTGGAGCGTTTAAGATGCTGTATCTTTCATGTGTTAAAATGGAGTTCGTGGTATCTGGGCAGCAAGGAGAAGGTTATTCCGATAATTAATCTTCTTCTGTCGAGAATGGAAGACATCTCTGCTGCGGTATGTGTATTTGTTCGTGACGTCTTCTAGCATTTCCTTTCTACAAAATATCTTTGGATATAGTAAAGTGGTTTATGCTACGGTTTGATCTTTATGTGGTTACGCCTAGCTGCGCCACATTTTATCTGAAGGACGGATTTAAGCAACGAATTGCTTCTGTGCAGGTTCGGATCACTGCTTCATGGGCTGTAGCAAATCTCTGTGATGCTCTCTGCAGCATTGCGGAGACAGATGATGCTAAGGAAGCTAGTAAGTCCTCATTGTCGCGTCCAAATTCTACCCCAAGATATTGAGAGGGTTCTTGGTTCACTTGTTCTCTCTCTACGGAATTGGCCTCTTATATGCAATCGTAATGCTGCAACCCGACAATTCTAAAGCCCTAGCGATCTTGTTGTGTGCAGACTACCCGTTGGAAGATGTGCCACTTGGGTCCTTGGCCGAGTGCACCTTCAAGGCTGCAAATGATGGCGATAAGGTCAGAGTATGATCACTAATCTATTTGAGTTTCGATTTTCATAGCTTCTTTATTCTAGAATTTTGATATGTTGTGAAGGATTCAAGTGAGAATTAGGCGAGGAACATAAATCGCCTGCATCAATTTAGACATTCATTTAACGCTCTGATCAAAACAGGTGCGTGCCAACGTCGTGAGAGCTCTCGGCAACCTTGCAAGATTTGTTGACTTTAGTGACATAGAGATGGGGCACAAAAATGTTGTCTATTCTCGTACAAATCAAACCCCTGCCTCACAATGGTTGGGTACAATGGTGCAAACATTTGTGTCATGCGTAACAACAGGGAATGTTAAGGTCCGTGTTTTGTTCAATGTGTTCTTCCTCATGTGATTTTACAGAATCCTACATATTCTGTAAATCGACTGTACTGATTAGTTGTCATGATTGGGCAGCGTATCTGAGATTGATGGAGACTCTGATTTTTCTGCAGGTGCAATGGAATGTTTGCCATGCTCTCGGGAACCTGTTTTTGAACCGAAGTATTCAACTATCATCTGCACCGTGGTAAGCTTCTCACTCTACCATTCTATAGGAAGTTTAGATTGGTGAAGTTGGGAATTGGGAGTGAGTTTCTTCTTCCTACTCTTTTTCTTCTTCTCAAAGTTTTCGATTTTTAGTTTCCTGTGTAGTTCATCCTTCTGCTTTTTACCTCTTCTGCGGTGTGTTGCTTATTTTTAAGATGCTCTTGTTTGATGTGATTACATGCTAATCATGTTGTGTTTGAGCAGGGCATTGTCCGTCTTCAGTATACTCCTGTTACTGTTGCGGGGTTCATCCAACTTCAAGATTCGCATGCATGCTGCCTCTGCCTTAGCTGTTCCAAATTCACGAGAAGGTATCGGATACCTCTACTTGCGTCATTGATGCACTAGACTGAGGTTAGATTTCCTCAATCGAATTCATGGAGAAGATCGCACTCATTCAAAGTACTTTCTTGCATGTACTTTGAATTAGTGGAAATCTCCTCATCAATTCCAGCAGGCAATCACATGGCATATTCAACCATTCATATTGTTTATGCAGATTACGGAGTGACCTACGGAGATGTGGTGCAAACCCTTATACAGTCACTGGACTCTTTAGAAAACGATGCTGGCACTGGACCAACATCAATGAAGTATCAAGCAGCTCTTGCAGATCAGGTATTTGCACACCTCGAGATTCACTGCCGTTTTTGTTGATCGACCAGCATTCACTTCGTTTTGACGGTAAAGAATATTAAGATATATTTACTTGAAAGAAAACAACTGATTGCATCCTTAAGGACACTTAAATGCTTGGTGATGAGAGTTTCTCCATACGAAGTGGAACAGACCTATACTGGATCTTTCAATCAGTTTCTGAACTGTTGGTCTGCGTCCGATTCGTTTTTCGATTGCAGCTCAATCGTTCTACGATTCATGTGCTAGCGCTAGGGCAACCACAGGACTACGACATTCTGAAGGACATGCTTCCCAAAGTAAGCTGTACATCCTATTTCCTAGCTTCACCATGTGAACAAGTCCCAACCCATTACAAAGTATGCTATACTACTTGTGTTCTAGCAAGTGCTAACTAATTGTGGTTCTGTTGTGCTTTCCAGCGGACTAGTTTCTTACACAAGTGGCTCTCTACGGTACTGCTTTCGACGAGAAGGGACTTACCCTGGAGTGGTGAGCTGTACGAAGAGGAAGTTTTCGGGACTACAAGCAAACCTGTTTGTACATCGGAATACGATGAAAAGCCGTTACCTCCTCCAAGGGACCAACATGGCTACCGCCTTATTGAGAATCAAGAGTTGTGTGGTACCAGCGACAAGGTCTCGTCTAGATGTGTCGACGCTGAAAGGGCCGTCCTAGCTCTCAGTTCCATGTACATGCATGGCGGAAAAATCACCGCTGCCCAAAATTTCCAGAAGCTGTTGTAGTCCCAGTTCTTGCAACACTTTCAACTTGGCTTCTTTTCTTGTTAGTTCTAAATTGGTGAGGGCCCCACCTCGTTATATCCGCTATATTTTCCATCTTCGCCCCCACCTGCTTCAGCTCCTTCAATTCAAAGCCTCTTAATCCTTGAAGTCCCAGTGGGAAGAAGACAGTTAATTAGTTAGTTGGTTTCTGAGGCATATTCTTCTGCCCATCCCTCGGCATGGCATGGCAACTTCATGTGGGTGTGTTATTGGGTATCTACACTTGTTTTTTGTGGACTTTTTGCATGATCAATTATCTAGTTTGATGGCTAGATGCATCAACACACAAAGAGTTGGAATGCATTTATTGAAAAGAATTCAAATTTTCATAAGTTGTGTTATGAGAAGAAATGAGAGAAATTGTTTGGAAGGAATTGTTTCCACCAAGTAGGAGTGATTTTTTGATTTTGGTATTTGTATTGTGTATATTTTACCTACATTTCAATGAATTGATAACTATCTAGTGAAGTACATTTTCTTCAAATTGCAATCATTAAGGAAAAAATTGACATTTGTGTTACAAAGCAAAGATTAAAAAAAGCATGTGCATAAGTTAACTTTAATTCAATTATAACACAATGTTATTTACATGTTATTTTTTATTTACTAAAATGAGTACTATGTATGTTTACTTATTATTTTTATATGCATATATATAAGATTAAAATTATTTTTTATTTTTTATATTAAAAACAAAATATCTGATTTATTATTTTTTATAATTTAATCAAATCATTATGAATCATTAATGCAATTAATTTGATTTGAAACAATTCTTAAAATAAATGAATTATTATATGCACCACAACCATACATTCGTTGTTAATTTTAATTAAAGCTTTCATTGTCAAAACTTATGTATTTTACATTTTTCACATAAGTCTACAATCCAATCATATAAGCAAAGCATTCCTTATCAAAAAGAATATTTCTAATCTAAGATTGAAATTACACTGTAATTGTATAAAAATATAAGATATTTCTAATGCAATCATAATTTCTATTATTATCACCATAATATATCATCCACCATATGCTACCACAATTGTTACTAATATAAATTTCCACTAATTCAATATATTTCTTTTGTTTTTTTTTAAAAAATAATTTCATTAAAAATTTATAAATATTTCTAATATTTTTTTTGTATTCTATCATACAAAAAATATATCTAATCTTAATATTTTAAAATACTAAAAATAAACTATCATAAAAATAATAAAACTCTAGTGGTATTAGCAACACCCTAAATATAAATAAACACACACACACATATATATATATATATATATATATATATAATAGAATTTTGGGCTTGAGAAATGGCCAATGTAATTGCTTTTCTTACAAATTGTAGTAGTTTATATTAACCAAGCATTCCTTATCTTTTCAGTGTGAATTTGTTGTGGTGACTTGAGTATAGAAGCCTCTAATTAACCTTGGCAATTAGCGAAACTGGTCTTTTGTCACTTCTTTTGCACTTTTGTGCCTACTTGTGCATTGAATCCACTGCTATTGTGTATCATGTGATATATTGTGAATGTTACTCATGTTGTAGTTGTTGATCTTAGCAAAGTCCTTGCTCATTGAAAACTATGGCTCTATCATACTATTGATTTTGCAAGATTGTGCTAGTTGTTGGAGAAAGCTTTGAAAAATGATACCAGTTTTGATGCATAAACATGTTGTTAACACAAAGTTCCATGCATTTGCTGTTTCAATCAACAAGTTGTTGATTCTTTGCAAACATGAGGTGAAGCCTCTTGTAAATACATTATTTTGTAAGATCAATTTATTTAACTAATGAAGGCTATTATTGGCGCTAGTCGCATTGGTGCTTATTGCAAGGCTAAGATTATCTTGTTCCAACTATATGTCTCTCTTTGTGAACTAATTCCCTAAGATGATGCATTCTATTCTAATCCTAAACATGTGATGAGCAAATAATCTTTTGATTGAAAAAATCAAATCATGTTTCTCTAGACTAAAATTGCTATGAAGTTTAGTGTACATTCTTAGTGTGCAAAAGATTGTGATTGTTAATCATCAAATATCACTTTCTTCATTGCATCTCTCTTATCACAAAACAATAAGGTAATATATACGAAGGAAGTATGAGCAATGCATTTTATATATATATATATATATATATATATATAAGTGTTTTATTAAAAAGTTTTTATATATAATTATAATAATAAAAATTAAATATTTTTATATTTGTATGGAATGGAGCATGTTTTATTGAAAAAATAGTGGTGTTCAATATTTAAAGGACGAAGCTGATGACGAGGGGAGAGTCGCCAAAACTCCCCCACTGCTTTCTCAAGCTTTAACTTTAAAGTCTTCTTTGACATTCTTTTGCGGGAGGGTATCATCGACGACAGCTTCCAACTGAGGACTTCATTCGTCGGGATCTCATCGACGTCGCCATCGTGGATTGGCGGCTGTTTCACACTGTTCAAAATTGTGGCGGGAGGCTGGCACCGTCGTGGAATGTTCTGCAAATTCAAACCCTTCCGATTTGAATAAACGACATTGAGCGATAGAGTGAGCAGGGGCTTGAGGTATGCCGGTGCTTTTTGTGTTCGCGTTGGATCGAATTTTTAGCATTTTAAAGTTCTAGTTTCTTGGTTGTACGATGAGAAATGTGAAACAGTTTGATGGTTAGAGTCTAAATTTACGATGCGATGAGTGGATTTTGGCTATGTTACATCCCTCGCAACTCCACTTTCTAGTCTGGAACCTCTAAATTTTTGTTATATTGAATGACGAATCTGGATAGGTAGACTCTTCTAGTCGTTCAATGTCGCCCTTAACATTTGAGTATAGTTCCTGGCGCAGTGGATGGACATATTTGCACTGTTTTAACTGTCACTGTGTAGAGGAGGACTGTGTGTAGTTCTTCAATCTCAGGATGTGGAGTTGATACCGGGGCTATCGACCTTGGTTGTTATGAAGTGTGAATGACGGCGTGACATGTAGTTGAGAGTGCTCTTAGATCTGTCAGGAATTATCTGGGATTACTATCACTTCCTCGATTGCTTGATCTTTGACTGGCAGTCGTGTGTGCAAGTGCTGTTGAGAAGCACGAAGAAGTACTACTGAGATCTTTATGAACGTGTGTCAGTTTTGTTCGCCAACCCCGATCATTCTGGTGCTCAAATTGTGCATGAACTTTCGGGTTTTACGCTTCTAACCCATTCTTCTCTGTCTTTATGGAAGCGGTGTATTAAGGTGTAACAACATCCTCTTTGTGTCCGTATGCATATCTGAAGCATTTATACTATCTTCTCAATAGGCCGTATCCTTCCTCCAAATATAATCTCTTCCTTTTCAAAAATCGTTTTCATCAAATGAATAAATTGAATCTCACTCTCTTGAACAGAAAGATTAGTTCCCATCCAAACGGTCTGTTCATTTAACTTCACTGTTTGGTAACCTTGACTATGCCGAAATTCTTTTCGAGGATCCTCGGATCATTATTGACAAATATATTGGCATATGATTTTCTTACGTTAGAATGGCGCTTCAACATCCTCTTTGACTAGAAGCTGTGTCAGGAAGCTCTAAAAGCCAGTCCTGAATACAGTCAGCCTTGAATATTATGAGCCGGTTCTGATATGTTGACCACAATCTGAGTACCTCGTTGCACCTCAATTAGGAAAGTGAGCTTACTTAATTCTGATTCAAATTATCTAATAATGCACCTGGGTCACGGGTGCAGAGAACAGCCAGCAGTCTTTGTCACATCTAGATGATAATGAAATTAGCAATTTCATGGTAGACGGCTATTCAAAGTACGCGCCACATGCAGATTCTCCTAAGCGCAGTAAGAAGAGACAAGGCGTGAGAAACGTTGAGTGAGGAATTATTGCACTGGACAAGCATGCATTCGACACTGCGTCCTCACCCACGCATACTCCAAGTTCCTTTGCACACACATGGGGTCAGAACGCTACACACTGACGGTTCTGTAATCCGAAAGCATGTCAGGCCTTGCACTGTCGTATCTCAGGTCTCCTACTGGAAGAAGGAGCTCTCAACGATCCACGACTTTCAAAACCAGAGATTTGAATGTCAAACGATGTAGGATTCTCTTGGACAAAAGAGAACTGGCTTGGAGAAGTAGGGACTAGGGTTTTGAATTCTTTTCACTACGAGTCACTGTCCTGAATGACACCGTTGGAGTCGTACGGGACAAAGATGTGGATGGAGCACAAATCGCAAACGTTCAAAATCGCAACTTTGCACAAGCCTTCTGTTTGTACGAATCTGTCAGGAGTATCTCGAGAGAATATTCTCAGCTCTGTCAGAAACGATGGTGGACGAGCAGGACTGACCTCGACTGGGCTGGATACGCATGGAATCGCCCGGGACTTGGGTCATACAGCTTGTTCTGGGGTATCATTTCTGTCTTCACTTCTGATCGTGAATGAACTTATGGCATCGAAAGAATGATCTCTTGTCTTGTACGTGATCCAGCATGTGATTGATTTTTTATACTCTTTTGTACGTCTGAATGCTATGTCTGAACTGTAATCATCCTGTGACAACACGCACGTCTAAAAGATAGGTTATGTCTGGTAACGTGTTCTCCAGGCTTCTTCACATTCTTATCCCGAAAACTGGGAGTCGATTGTAATCCTTGCATACTTGGAAAGACTGCGTTTCCTTATTCAGGTACTTTACCACATCTATCACAGGTACATCGGGCAGTTTGATACTGCACCTTGTTACATTTCACGTCGTACTTAACTTCATATTGACTTGTCTACTCTTAGCGACTTCACCTTGAGTCGTATGTTTCTTACAAAGTACGAGTAAAGTGCTCCTACAGATTCTGACCAAAGAAATGTTGAAGCTGAACCTCCTAGTCAGAGCAGGAGTGAAGGAGGCAGCCTGTACATTTTGGACTCGGTCACCACTCGTGCGTGGCTAATCTATCATTTCATGGAAAAACAGCAGACTTTGAGCCATGTCTTTGGCTAGCTTTGGGTGGTGATGTTAAAAGTCCTATGCAGAAGAGTGTACCTAATGAAAATGTAAGGGATAAGGTTGGTGCTCTGCCCAGATTTTCTGAGGGTCACTCCACCTCCTCAGTTACAACTTGTCATTCGAACGAGCTCCCTTAAATTTTTTGCAAGGGTTGGATGCTTCCATAATTTGCACTCTAATGTTTTTCTATACGTCCTGGTTTTTCAGAATTTATCTTGTTTTATATTTTAAAATTTATATCAATTTTATTTTCATCAAATTTTCCTCTTAGACCTGCATTTTATTTTCATCAAATTTTGCAGCTTGCTTATTCAAACTGTCAACTATTTCTAGAGCATCATTTGTGTATTATCCTTTCAAGTGTGTTGAAAGTATTTTTCTGAAATGCTTAACTACTGTTAAATCTTGAGACTGATTAATTGTAATAGATTTGCAGGCGGGGTACAACGCAAGCAACATAAATTGGAAATGACTAACAGTGATCTGCTTCGTGCCAAGGGAATAAATGATAACTTGAGGACCGTGTAACTGTACACAGTCTCCAAATATCATATCGAGAAAGCTGTTCTTAACTCAGTAAACCAAGGCTGTGGGTGCAACAGTTGCTTACATTCTCGAAAAGTTGCACTTCACACATCCTCACATTTCTCACGAATTATCTCAACAGAGATCTGTCTCAACACAGGTGTAGCCAAGAGCCTTGAGGAAATTCTAGTGTGAGATTGATAAGATTACGATGTGCACATCAACAAAGCCTGCTTTGGTCGGCACAAAATCAGTGGTGATTTTCTCCAAAACCAATCTTTCTACCAAAGTCCTATTTATGAGGATTTTTACTGCAATCGTTGCTTTTCCTACTAGGGAGACCTCTGGTGAAGCACTACGTTCTATTTACATAACTTTGAATCTTACAAAATGTTGTCGACTGATCCATTTTTAATTTCTATTGCACTAGGGGACTACTATCATCACTTCCCTTACGCCTACAGACAAGCTTCATCGGGGTGATAGATGAGTCGACAACATACAGGTCGGTAGAACATTGCCACTAGTACTCAGCTCGAGTTATTCTGCAGAATGGGAACTGGCAGTTGGAAATGGAGTATCTGAACAAGCAGTTTCAGGAAGATTTCATGTTACTCGGTATTCAAGCAGACCTGATAAATGTTACTGCGGTATATGCATACTATTCTTTCATTGGTCAAGGCACAAGCATTTTTTCGTACTAACGTCACGCTCTTCCACCACAAGAGTCTTCTTCAACCATAAAAGATTCAGTCCAGTGGAAGCAAGGGTAGGATGGAATGTATCTTGCCAATGATCTGGCTCTCTGCATGCCTACAGACCCTCCATTCACGAGCCACCCTTGTTCTGTAAAGTTTAAATACTTTCGTCGATTCTGCATTTGCTGGTTGTGTAGGCGACATAGTGCTGGTTGTGCACTATTTCAAAACATTAATATTGGTGCAAGGTTTTCAGGTCCGGCAAGGATTCGAGGCTTATTGCTCGCCATCAGTAATTAGCTTATGGAATCTGTTCATTCATCAGCAAATGGACTCTGTAGCTGTTTCTTCTCCGATTTAAGTGCCTTTCTGTAGTACTAATTCCTTGACCCTGTCGGATGCAGTTCTTGTTGTGAAATGTGGATTACAGATGAGGTCGAAGTTGGGTTCGTTCATTGGGGAAGGCAGGGATCTCTGTCAATTTCCCTATCTAATTGTTGCATCTCTTGTTTACTGAAAGTACTCGTCAATATCACCATGAAAGAATCCCACCAGTTGCGTTCATACACCTGAACGACCTTGAGAATATGCAATGTTACTGAAAACCGTAGTGGCTTCAAAGACTCATGGTTCTTTGAATAATGGTCATCTTCACAGTTCGACATTGTTGTATTATTGCAAGTCACACAACTGGTGCATGGTTAATCAGTGGTCACCTACATGAGGATTTCTCAAGCTTGTGCCGAGCGGTTATTTGATAGGCGACGAACAGGCGTCTACTGGAATTTTTACCATACATTCTCAAGCCACCCTTGGGAAACAGGTATTCATAAAACTACACGAGCAAAGACGAAACGATTAGAAGGTTCTGAGAGTAGGTTAACTTAGAATCCGATTTGATTTTACAGCGTTGCAGGATTCGGTGCATGTAATGAGTCATTTAAATACTTCAGAGTTTGGGATGCCCAACAATTCAATTTGTTTGAAAGTTTCTTCGCATTCTCAGTACCCCACCAAGTGCCTACCAATTCTTTACAGCTAGGAAAAGAACCATTTATGAAGTCTAATGAGTCTAACATGATTTGTGTTCTACCTGCACTCCATTGCAGTTGCTCTTCATAAGACAGATGAAACTGTTGAACAAAAAACAATACAACCCTCCCCATATGAAGTTCCATTACATTGTTGATAGCTTTCAATGCCAATAGCTTCTTAAATCCTCAAGAACTTTTCCATGCTCAAAGTCTATTTAATTTGAATGTATTTGAGCTTCAATTCTTCTTCTAATATGTATCTTTAAATAAAGTGATGTTTTTCTTCAATATATTTTGTTCTTGCATTAAAAAATGGATTTTTAGTCAATTCAATTGTCTCTTGATTGTCACAATTAAAATGCAAGTTGTATAAAGTAGGATTGAATGCATCTACCAAGTTTTTATGAATGTTATCCTTACATCAAATTGGGATATAGATAGAGAAGACAACTTGTGATTCTAATAGAGTTTGTATAATGTATATAGCTTCTTCTGTTCTTTCAAACAAAGTCATACTTTGCTTCAATTTTACTTTTGAAGATAGCAACTTGTCATTTGTTTGACCATAAAATTTATCCTAATACTAAAATAAATAAAAAAATAAAGAGGCGCTTAGTAATTTGTTGATTTTAGTACATTCTAAGTAGTAAGAGTGTACAAATTCTTCCAAATTAATATTATTTTTAGAAAAATGAAAGTAATAAATTCTTAACTTGGTTTTTTAAGTAAAATAATTCTATTTTAAAAAGTAAAAGTAATAAGTTTCTTATATTTTTTTAAATATAGACATAAATAAATTCACAATACCTACAACATAATTAATGTCTAACCAAGAATTGATTAAAAAAATATTTTTTCTATGACATGCTAATAACTAATTATATTTATTAATAATATTATAGTATCTAATTTAAATATGTAATCTTTAGAAAGAGATATAATCTTAGATATAAGATTTTTTATACTAATTTTTTTGAAGATTTTTAGACAATATGATTTTTCATACATAAAAATACCATCATTTGTTTATATAAATTCTATTCTAAGATACTTATAAATTATTCAAAGATTCTTTATTTTGTATCTATTTTGAAGCCAAAGTTTGACTTATTTGATGTGTTTGTTTGAATTTCTTGTCACAAGTAAATCATCTACAAATATTATAAGAATGATAGTATTTTTTATATTTTTGAAAGAAGTAAATATTTAGATCAACTAAACTTTGGATCCAATTAAAGTCATAAAGATGGATATCAATTTCTTAGTATTAGGTTTAAAAAGACTATTCTAATTTGTACATAGTCTCTTTAGTCTAAATAATAAATAATCTTTTTATTTTATTACTAAATCAAGATGTGTCACGGACATACATATTTACTTTAATAATTACCTATATGATTAGGTAGAAGTAAGTATAATTAGATTAATTTCATAATATCTTTTAGAAAAGCTTCCTAAAAGCTTCATAGATGTGGCTTTGACTTTACACGTGTTTGGAGGTTAGAAACTTGGTCAACAAATTAGCCACATATTATATGTGTTGATAGCTTTTGGAACAAACTAACTATGTAGTACATATATAGAAAACTTGCCTTGCAAGTTAAAATAGGTGTCTTAGAATTTGGACACATGTTCAAAGTCTTATAGAAAGTTGTTACGTAATTCCTAGTCAGATAGTATATGTAGAGGCAAGAGTGAAACCTTCTTTACTCTTGTCAATGCCTTTTTTGTCTAGTTTCAAGAGTATATGTTCTTTTTGTCTTTAACAATAGCAATTCTAGTCTTAATATTATATTACTTTTGAAGTGAATATTTATTCTTCTTAAGTTACACAAGAGTATTTTAAAGTTCTTCTTATTTTGACTTATGTCCTTGACAATTTGACAAAAGTGTTAACTGATTGTTTTTATCTTACTTTAGAAGTGAGTGAATTATCTCACTTCTATTATTGTATTTTGAAGGTTATAGATTATCCACCTTTAAACAAATAATTTAGTTTTTCAACAATAATTTTTTTAATAAAGAATGTAGATTAGCCCTCTTTGTGAAAATTTTCATTTGACATTAGAAGTTGTGGATTACCTTCCTGTAATTTGACTTATGGATTTACTAAGTTGTTTGAAAATGGAAGAAAAAATTAGAGATGCTACACTTGGTAGAATTAAAAATAGCTTGTAACTATCACAGATCTTCACAAGCTTGTCAATATACTTAGGGTAGAAATTTCATGCATTACTAATGCCAAGAATAGAAGTACTATTTCTACACCTATGAAAGAAGTCTAGAGTCTATGCCAAAATGTTGTATAATTTAGAAAAGCAAGTAGATCAATCTTACAACCAAATTCAGAAAATCTTTCTTCTACAAGCACAAAAGAGGCAAGGATTAGTATGCCCAAGAAGTTTGATAGAACAAAATCAAAATCTTAAGGAATTTTGCAAAAAGTTAAGCTTTATTTAAGATTACATCCTTTTCAATACCTCAATGGATTTATTCAAGTTGGATTCATATATGCACTTCTATATTGTTATATGGTACAACGTGTATTCTTTAGTGGATGTAGCTTCAACCTTCAAAAATTTGATTGCATGAATTGGTATCTTATAAGTTAGTATTAGAGCCTAAGTTAAGAAAATATAATAGAATATTTATTTAAATAAAAATATGCTAATGTAATTTAAAAATTTCAAGTTGCCTACCTAAATTTATAAACTATTTTATAAAAAATAGAAAAACAACAAAAAAATATACATATTATGTTAGCTCAAAGCAAGATAATATATAGAAAATAAAATAAACATTATGTATGGAGCATTATTGAGGAGGTACAAATCAAAAATATACTAATTATAGAATTTTATTTTAGCCATTAAACAAAGTCCTTGTAATCAATAATTATATCTTTAAATTTTATATAATTTATAAAAAATTCTAGAGATTTTTATTTTTTTGTGAGTCGCTGGAACGCCTTCGATTTTCAAGAGCCCAGCTACATGCGTCGATGGATTTCACCCACACCCCAGGACCCGTCAGTCCCTGTCAATGCATGCGTGGGTCCTCCCTTCATCGGATGGATGACATCCAAAATACATTCATCCTCCACTCCCTCACCCGTAAGATAGGCGTCGCCAGAGAGCTGCGAGGAAACTTCATTCATATGGGAGCTACTTCCAAGATTGGCCGCTGGAAAGCGCCAGTTTTTGTGTATGTCTCTCCCTTCTCTTTCCCTCTCGTCTCTCAATCTCACTCCCCCGTTTTGTTTTTCCCCCTATTCATGTTTGTATGTGCCTTTTCCTTTTGCTGGAGCTGCCATCACTACCAGCTTGCGGAGAAGCGCAGAGATCCGTAGGACTTTGAGGGGAGGGGGGAAGGCGATTCTCTCTTTGTTGTCTCGTCAACTGGATGCGTGCATTGTTCGAATCTGATCTTATTTGCAGGCTACAGTCGACCGTTGGCAGCTGGGTTGAAGCTGCTTGTTTTCGTGCTTGCTGGGTCGTCGGTAAACTTCAACTTACGAGGTCTACTCTACGCCCCGAAGTTTGCCAGTTTTTATAGAAGCTGGGTGTGGTGGGATGTGCGTACCCTCGCAGACGGACCTTATGGAGCTGGAATCTGCAAATGGTTGCGGGTAGGGGAGGAGTGGCTGGAAGGCGAGGAGGTGCAAAGCAGGTTTTATTGTGCGTGTGTTTTGTTTGTCTGTTTGTTTTTTTCTGGTCGGAGTGTGATTTGTAGAGTGTGATTTGTAGAGACGTTTAGCTACTTCGATGCGAAGCAGAGAGCGTGCTTGGAACTCCAGTGGCTTTCATTCTGTGGTTCTTCTCCGTTCCTGCTCCTTTCACATTTTTGGGTTTTAGCATACGTTCATGCTGAGTCTGAGCGTGGCAGCTTGGGGCGTACGATTCCGTGGCCATATCGATTGGGTGTCTGAAAGTGGGGTCCGAAATCCAGGTAGTTTAAGGTCAGGTGTCTCATTTATCTCACAATGAGGCCCGACCCGCCCGCGCCTGAGCGCTCAGGGTTTTTCTCTGGTAAGATGCTTCAGAGGACGCTGCACAACTCGCGCATTACTATCTTGTGCGGGGTTGTCACTATACTTGTCCTTCGAGGTACCATCGGCAGCGGCGTCGACAAAACCCATTTTCTCGATTTGACTCTGGACATGGACGATATACCGGACGTGGAATGGGACCCATCGGTGCCATTTACTCTAGGACCTACGATCACCAACTGGGACGAGCAGCGCGCGAAGTGGATTTCGAAGCACCCTGGTGAGAACAGTAATCTCCGAGGCAAGGATCGAATGTTGCTCGTCACAGGCTCCCAGCCTAAGCAGTGTGAGAATCCCGTTGGCAACTTCCAGCTGCTTAAGGCGCTAAAGAATAAAATAGATTACTGCCGGTTGCATGACATCGACATCTTCTACAACATCGCGCACTTGGACATCGAAATGGCGGGATTTTGGGCGAAGCTGCCCTTGCTGCGGAAGCTTTTATTGGCGCACCCGGAGATTGAGTGGATCTGGTGGATGGACTCGGACGCACTCTTCACAGATATGACGTTTGAGATTCCCATTGAGAAATACAAGAGCTACAACATGGTGTTGCACGGGCTGGAAGACGAGGTTTACGACCAGAAAAGCTGGTTAGGACTCAACACCGGTAGTTTTCTCTTCCGCAACTGTCAGTGGTCACTCGATCTTCTCGAGGTTTGGGCGCGAATGGGGCCCAAGGGTCCAGTTCGAGTGGAAGCTGGCAAGCTTCTCACCGCCACGCTCGCTGGTCGGCCGGAGTTCGAAGCAGACGACCAGAGTGCACTGGTGTACTTGTTGGCGATGAACAAGGAGAAGTGGGGTTCCAAGGTATTTTTGGAGCATTCTTACTGTTTGCATGGTTACTGGGTCATGCTGGTGGAGCGGCTTGAGGAATTGATGGAACTCGGCCCGCGTGGTGGCGAAAAAAACTCTTTTCGGTGGCCGTTTGTGACGCATTTCGTGGGTTGCAAGCCGTGCGGTAGGGACGGGACCAGTCACTATGCTACAGATCGATGCCTCAAGCACATGGAGCGCGCCTTCAACTTCGCGGATAATCAAATTCTTGAGCACTATGGGTTCCACCATCAGACGCTTAATACTTACAAAGTTCACCAAGTTCGCAACGACTCCTCCGATCCTCTGGGGATTTCTGATCGTATACCTTCGCGGTAGCAGGGTTTTGACCGTGCACAGAGAACTACCTCGTGAGCACGAGACCAGAGACGTCGATTGGCAGTGTGTCCATGGCGTTTGCTTCCTTCAGTAGCTACCTCCTTGTAATGCATGTGAGGTTTTGAGCTTAAGGGGACGATTCGGGACCTTCGCACTTCTGGCCATAGCTGGTGATCACGTCGATGCGTTTCTGCCTCTGCAACATTTGTGAATAGCGGAGCATATTAATGTCTTTTGCGGTGGAATTGAGCCGGCATAGGAGATCTGACAACGTCGCGCATTTATCCAGTGGAACTTTGCGGGGTGTACAATCCCTTTTCTACTTTTCCAAGGCCACGAATTGTGGTTCAGCATTTCCGACTCGATCGACATCAATCGTTAGTGAGGATGATCCCCTGTGATGTATTTGTATACTATCATCGCAATCGGAGGATGACATCATGAGTAGTAGGTTTTACGGAAATCGGCTTTAGATTCATTGTTTGATCCAATTCGTCAACATAAAACTTGACGGCATCTGGAAACCATCGCTCACTTAAACCTCCGGCATAGAGGAGTACTCAGTACTTTCACTCTCCCTCCACAAGCAATTAGCGTCATCGCTTGTGATACTAACTACCAACTGGCGATGTGTTCAACTTTTAACAGACCTATTTGTCTGCTTAGTGCTCGCTTCCAGTGAATACATTCAAACTTGCAGATCTTTTCGACTCAAATAAGTCTCAACTTGAGTTCGCGCAGTTCCCGAGTCCTTGTCGTTGCGTTTTGGAAAGCATGGTTGAGTTGTTAGGCATCCTCGAACTCAGACTCATTAATTGCGAAATGTAACATTTACCAGAAACCCACCAACCAAACTACCTTTCTATTTTTGTACATCCCTGTCTTGGAAGAATATTCTCGATGTAGTGCAATGTAGCGAGCATTGGAACAAGCCCCACACTAAGAAAATTCAATTTCCTAATCATGTTTCTCTCGCTTCAAAAGTTTGCGGCAGACAGTGTTATAGTCTGACATAAATGCAGGACGTGGCTATGAGAATGCACCCGTGAGTGCAACAGATTCCGCACATGTTTAATCCCAACAATAGCCGACGGAAACCGGTGGGAATTCTGTCAGCCTACCAGAATCAGCTGCCACTCAAAACATCATCGGAAATGTCGCTTCGGCGAGTACCCGCTCTCCTGCATTTTTTAGGACTGAAACCACATGTGAGTAACATACACTAAGATTTTAATTTTTCATATTACGTTTTGTACTTTTCAAAATTTTCTGTTATAGTCAGATTTTATTTTTTAACTAGTTGGTAGTCTTAACATTGAAGTCACTTAGTAATAACGTGATTTAAAAAAAGAAAATCAACAAATTAAAAATTAAAAAAACAAAAACAAACTAGTTTTTTTTACATTTTTATGTATTGACCACGGTGATGCAAAGTTAGAAACATCCATGACTACTTTCAGTTAGATATTTCCATGTCAATCTACAGACACATCATTCTTTAATACATGCAAAACTTTGTTCTTAAGAATTTTAGAAAGTTATATTTGAACCATTATATTAAAGTAAATAGAGAATTTTTATATACAAATTAGAATATATGTAGTATTTTTTAAAAAAAGTATGATATTTTTAGAAGTGATGCTTTAAAAAGTAATATATTTAAAAGATCAACTTAAAATTTCAAAAACAAATGGAAAGATATTTTATAGATTTAATTCGTCATTTCAATAACATACATTTTTTTATTAACAATATTATTTAACATGTAATCTTAAAATATGATTTATGTATCTAGATGCAATAAATAAATTCATTTAATTATAAAAAATCTTGCTATTGATTCTTCACTAACTATAATAAATATATTTGTCATATAGACTTACTAGTGTAATAAAATTAAAAATTCATAAAACTTGGCACATCAAATAAATGTTATGTAATGGTCAAATTACAAGTGGAATATTTTGGTTCTTTTGATATCATTTATTTTATTTTGAATCTTAATTAGATAATAATAACAAGGCTACAATTAAGGCTACATTTATTGTTGTTACTTGCGGGTCATCAAAGACTATAGAAGTCAATTCAATAAATTGTATAAGTTCCACATTATAATTTGTTGCTAGTAAATGGACAAATTAGTGAGGTTCTTGCAAATCTTTTTAAGCACAATTAATAAAGTTTTTTTCAATTTTTTCAAGTAGTAGATGAAAAAGAAATTAAAATTAAAATAAGTTTAAATATACATTTAAAAAAAGTCAATTCAAATTAATTACATATAAATAAATAAAATATCAACTTTATTTTATTTTATTTTATTTTATTTTTAATCTCAAAATAATTATTCTTTTCTACATTTTTTTTGATATTACATTTAAATTACTTCAATATCATCTTTAAGAATTTTTTTAACACATAATACAATATCTCTAATATCACTTATTATCTTCTCTTGTTGTTACTAATGAAAACTTAGATCTTCTATTTACAATAAAAAATGACATTAAAATTTAACTATTTAAAGATGTTTCAAATATTTAATCATGAACATCCTTAATAAAATAAAACAAAATCCTTTATTATTTTCTTTAACTATTTAGGCTTATAATTTATTGTAACTTACAATAGTATTATTTATACCTATAATGCTGACTTTTGATCAAGAAAAATTAAACGAATTTTTAATAAAAAATTTAATTACAAAACTAATGATATCTTTAAAATGTAACTATTACAACAAAAATCATGTTTAAAAAAAAAATCATAATGATAGTTAAGATTTTTTTTGTATCCAACATCTTCTTTAAGTATAAATCAACTCATATTCAAACTTCTAATATCAATTTGAGATATTAATGTTGCAGAGATTTAAACTGATATACTTTAATATTTATTTTACACCATAATTTTTTTTATTAATGTTTTTATTTTGTTAACGACTATTATTTAAAATTCAAATTCAAATTTAAATAGTGAAATTAGTACACATATTTAAATTAAAAAAAAATTGTTCATTATTTTTACTATCAAAATAATATAATTTTATTATTCATGTTTTTAATTTCGATTTTAAAAAAAAATAACAAGTATTATTAATAAAAGTCTGATTTATATAAAAATAAAATCAATATTAGATTTATATTAAAATATTATAAATATGATGTTTATTATAAAAAATTAGTAATAATAACATGATACCAAAATATAGTATTATGCCATATATATATATATATATATATATATATATATATAATTATTAAATAGACCAAGGTTTTTACTAAATCAATCTATCTATGATAAAGAATATTATAATTATAATGAATATAATTGGATTTCATTAGGTTTTGGATCTAGTAGTAATGAAATAAATCTAGAGATCATTTTGTTTTCATGATAGTTAGAATGGATGGGTCAAATTAGTAAAAGCTTAAGTCTATTAAGCATTCATGTGTAAAGAACATGAAGCTTGAAGAAAGAAATCCTCAATATACTCTTATGTCACTCAAAAGAACTAAAGTCACTCAAAGATGATATAATATTAAACTAAAATGGCTATTGCCAAAGATAAGAAGACTAGAAAGTCTTGAAACAAGACTAAAGACTAAGAAGGCATTGACAAGAATGAAGAAGGCTTTGTTCTTGCCTCCATATATACTCTTAATTAGGAATTACATGATGATATCCTATAGAACCTCCAAAATGTGTTGACTTTGCAAGATATATATATCTTAATTTGTAAGGCAAGTTTTTTATATATATCCTACATAGTTAGCTTGCTTCACAAGCTACAAATATGTGATTAATTTGTTGACTAGGTTTTTAATCTACTAATCAACTACAAATATATAAATAATGAAAGCAACATCTATGAAGCTTTTAAGAAGCTTTTTTAGAAAATATTATAAAATAAATTTATTTTTATTTATTTTTATTTAATAATATATATATTCATGACATTACCTCCTCTTCTAAGAATTTCATGAAGAACAATCATTATTTGTTGAAAAAATCTAAAATGGGGCCAATTATATTTGCCACATATTATAATCTTTATTTTCCTTGAAGATGGTTGATAGGTCTTCTTAGCCATAAATAGTGTTCTACATCAAGGCAAGAAGATCACCTTATTATTTGATTGTTGTTGAGGCCTTTGTAACTCCCTTCAAATAAAATATTTGGAATATTGTCAAGAATTATTGCTACTTCTAATAAAATCACCAAGCATTGATAGTCTCTTTTATAGTTGTGATATCAAACATATTGTATCTCACTATGCATTTCAGGAACAATGTGTCATTCTTGAAGATCTTCATCTTGATTACATCATCTTGAAAGTTGTGAAAATCACAATACTTCATTTGATAAGTTGGCAAGTAATAGTTATTGGATTGAATCTGCTAGTTGTTGATTTTCCATCTCTTTGGTATTACAAATGCACAAAAGTATCAAATAAGAGTACAAGGTAGAATATTATCTTTTATAAATCTTGTTTCTTTTATAGCAAAATTTTGTTATTCTTCATCTTAATTTTGATGGATGTTGTCAATGAAAAGTCTCAACATTCTTTGTTGTATTTGTAAGATTCTTTGTTGGCTCTCATATATGGTCATTAATAACATATTCATGCTAATGAATAAGATATTCCAATCTATTTTTGCATTGCCTTGAATCTAAGACTTCTTCGATCTCAAATTTTTTATTATTATTCATTTCTATAGGAAGAAGTGGCATTTGTCTTCTTTCTGAAATATTCATTGTCTTATATGGATCAAGAAGAGACACATGGAATATGGAATAGATCTTTATAGACTTTGGTAGATATAATTGATAAGCAACAAGATTGACTTATTCACTAATAAGAAAAAGTCTAAGCCTACAATAGTCCTACTTATCACTAAAACAAATAGTCTTGATATTGCGACAAAGTAGCCATACCTTGTTACTTATATTGAATTGTGGTTGTTCTTTGTAATATTCATTTGTAATAATCTTATATCATTCTTGAGTTCCTTTTAACTATACTTTTATTGTTACATGTATTTCTAACAAATAATTTGTCAAATCTTTTGCAACAAGATTATCAACTTTTAAAAAGTCAAAAGTATTAAGTTGTGGATGATAATCATAATTGATAAAATAAAAATAAAAATAAAAAATTTGTTGAATGGATGAATGTATCAAATTATTATATGCAAACTTTGCCAATGGCAAAAGAAATGTCCAATCATCTTCATGATAATTAATGATATACTTCAAATATTGCTCCAACATTTGATTCATCTATTCTATTTGTCTACCAGTTTGAGGATGAAAAACTAAAGAAAGCTTTGTATTTACTTTTAAAATCTTAAAAATGATTCTTCAAAATCTTGATATCAATTGAATCTTCCTATTCAATATAATATCCTTTCATAATCCATAATAGAAATAGGTGTTATTAAAAAAAAGCTTAGCTATTTCTTCACTTATGATAGATTTTGCATATGGTACAAAATGTGGCATTTTGGTAAAATAATCTACTATCAGAAATTTAAAATCATACAAATCTCACATTGAAAGATCCATGATAAAATCCATTTAAACAAAAGACCATGGTTGTTCCGAAAAAAGTAATGGCTGAAGAAGTCTATAAGATCAATGACAAGGAGATTTGGATCTTCAACAAATATCACATGATTATATAAAGTCTTTGACTGCCTTCTATATTTGAGGCCACCAAAAAACTTTAGATATT